CCACAGATCGCCTCCCAGGTGGTGATCTTTCATAGATAGAACAACATATAGGCTAACACTGGGATACAGCTGCTTTAATCCTAAATAGAAAATTACAACCAAAACATAGCGTGAAATTGTTTGGACAAAAATCTTCACGCAAGGAATATAGTACACTCACAAAAGTGTTGAATTTCAAGCTCTTCAAAGGTGCCTCCCCCGAAGTTGATGGGGGGACTATAGCCTTCTTAGGGTCTCCACCCTTAACCAGGTACCAGAAGAAAGATGGATTCAAAGGTTCCAATAAAAATAATTTATTTTGGCATTAAAAAAATATATATATATACATATATATGTAGTGATTAAAATGCTGAGGTCCTACGTGTTTCTTTACGATAAAGGAACTTTCTCAGGGACTAATAATAAAATAAATAAGTACAATCAATATGCAATCAATATGCAATAATACAAGTCCCTTTAAATAGGGTAGGTCCCTCCTCCTTCCATACCTCAGTCTTTTTTTCCTGTCCTTAATCGGACAGACAGGTTTAATTTACAACCTTCCTTTAAAACCTTACTTTTTTTGGCCACCTTCCCATGTGTACCATAGGTCTCCCAGGCCCAGTTTAGCCTCTCTGTGTCTGAAGGACCCAGTAAACAGCCTGCATGAGCAGGAATAACTGGGTCAGATTCAAAATTAGAGTTTTAAATCTTCTTTCTGTCATAATAATGAATTCTGAGCACTACGGCTCCATAGAAATTTCAGAAGCCTTATATTTCCCCCAACAGAACCTAGAGGGATTCAGGGAGATAAACTTTTTTCTCTATTTCATTCGGGAGTTTCCCTATTCTACTTTTCTATCTTTCGTGTACTTACTGGGTTCGTTTAAAATCGTGCGTTTGGGAGTTAATCATGCTCGCAGGTGGGTAAGCCTCGCATAATGGTGAGTATTCCCTTGTTCATTCACTTCTTAGCGGTGTTTGTTTCCTTTTCTAAGGATTCCCGCCTTAGCATTGGTTCGTCTATAGCCTTGTTCTCATGATTTGGCACGAACGAATCTGAGAAAATGGCATGAATGGCTCAGTGTTCTCCCGAACAGTCTGAGCATGCGCAAACTCTCTCTTAAAGATACAGGTTTTTCACATTCTGTTCTTAAAGAAGGTATTCTTTCAGTACTGCTCGTGTGATTTCTTTTCTAACCTCAAGGTAAATATTTACGTTATCTCCTCTTTCCTAAATATTCTAAAGGAGTAAAAGATTTCCTTAAGGTTCTAACTCAACACTTTTATTCCTTTTATAGATGTCTTCTCCCACTGCCTCCCGCTGTTCAGGTTCAAAGAAAATAGGTGAGCCAAAGTTGATATGTATATATGGGGAATAAAATGCCAAATAGGCACCATCGTTTCTTACATGGCCTTTTGATTTTGCAGCCCAAGACACCAGGAAAGGTGGGACAAAGAGACAGAGGAGTAATAGAGAGACACAGGGGATGGAGGGACAAAGAAACAGAGCGGTAATAGAGACAGGGGAAGGGGGATGAAGAGAGAGGGGTAAGAGAGACACAGGGAGGAGATGGGTAAGAGACACAGGGAGGAGATGGGGAAGAGAGACACAGGGAGGAGAGGGGAAAGAGAGACACAGGGAGGAGAGAGGGAAGAGAGACATAGGGAGGAGAGGGGAGAAAGAGACACACAGAAGGTTTGTTGGGGGGACAAAGAGACATTCAGAAGGGAAGTGACACACAAGATTTGCGGGAGACAATGTTGGGCTGTGGAAAAAGAAACACAGAGTGGCTGGGAGACGAGAAAGAGGCACACAGAGTCTGGAGTTAGAAAGAGACACACAGATGAGATTTGGAAGGGGAGAAAGAGACAAAGGGGCTGGGGCTAAGACATACACAAAAGCGGCTGGGGAAAAGAGACATACAGAGGCTGGAGGAGGGTAAAAAGAAACACACAGGGGCTGGGATGAAGTAAAAGATACACAAGGGTCGCTGTAAGAGAAAAAAAGGAGACAATTGGAGACAAGATACACTAAACGAGGTTAATGTAATAGACGTAATTGATGTGATCCTGACAGTAATACATACATATACATATATATATATATATATATATATGCATGTATATTGATGTGTGTATTAGTAACATAATTATGCCTATAATATTTACACATATATTAATATACATTTATATATGCATAATACACACATAAATGTCATTAATATATATATATGTGTGTGTAATGAGCATGTATTGGCCCAGTCTTGTTGCTAGTTGCATACTCGTACACAATAACATATTCAAAGTGAAGAGTGCACCCATAGGACTTCAAAATGAACAAGATAACTTCATTTTTTTTCAGTTGTGCAACCGCATACATTCCCCATTTTAGTCCCATTACTAAAATGTCCTTAATATGCCAAAGTAGTTGTACTGAAACATTGATTACATGCAAATGAACGTCTGCTTAAAATAAAGGCGCTCTTTTGTTTATTTTGAAGCTCTATATGCGTTCTTTCGTTGGAATAATAGTTTTCAATTTTTTATTTTTTTTTACCCTCTATATCAGCACACTATGCTGGCGCGACGCATTATTGGGCTGGTATAGAACTTTTTTCCAGGGCTGCTTTTAGTTCCCAGTCCGGCCCTGATGGGAAATCATCACAACAGATGCCAGCATGGAAGGATGGATAGCTCACATGGAATCAACATGGATTCAGGATACTTGTAGTCCATCAGAAAGCAGCCTTCACTCAAACCTACGGGAGTTAAGGACCATTTATATTGCTGTACGGAAACTCCACAGTACTCTCAAAAGTCCTTGGATTTCTATACGAACAGACAACAGGGCGGTGGCTGCTTATATAAATCACCAAGAAGGTACATGGAGCAATCTACTCTTACAAGAAATTTCTCCTCTAATGTCCTGGGCTCAATTTCACATAAACGGGATAAAAGCAATCTACCTTCCAGGGGTGGAAAACATTTTAGTGGATATCCTCAGCAGAACACTCATATTACCAGGCGAGTGGAGCCTAAATCCCAAGATGTTTCAAGTTCTGATGAAGAAGTGGGGCCTACCCCAGATAGACTTATTGGCCAACAGGAAGAATGTTCAGGTGGCAAACTACTTTTCCCTCTCCAAAGATGCCCTTTCTCAACTTTGGACATTCGATCTGGGGTATGTGTTCCCTTCCCTACCTCAGATTCCCCGGGTACTGAAAAAATATGGAAGGAAGGAAATAAGGTTATAGCCATTATCCTGATATGGCCCAGGAGGCCTTGGTATCCCCTTCGCTTGAGAATGTCCGTGACCCGTTCCTGGTTACTTCTGATATCCTCGGACCTTCTAATCCAGGGTCCAGTTCACCCCAACCCATCCCCATGGAACCTGGGGGCCTGACTATTGAAAGGAGATCCCTCTTTAACCAGGGCCTATCTGAAGCAGTGATTGGCACTCTAAAAGCAAGGAAACAGTCTACTTCCTCTTGCTATTACAGAATTTGAAAAACCTTTGAACAATGGGCAAAAGCTAAATCATTCGAATCTCAACACCCTACTCACCTCCATATTCTGGAATTTCTACAGGCAGGGCTAGACAAAGGTCTCAGCCACAGCAGGTTGAAGGTGCAGTCCTCAGCTTTATCTGCCCTTTGTAATACTTCATGGGCATCTCACTCTCTCATCTCGAGATTCTTTAAGGCTGTTATGTGTTTACACACTCTGGCCAGAAACACGACTCTGCCATGGGATTTACCAATGGTCCTGAATGCCTTGACAGAATATTCCTTTGCTATCCTACAGGATATCTCTATGCAACATCTGACTTATAAGACTGTGTTCCTGGTGGCTATCTCCACAGCCAAGCGAATTTCGGAGCTCCAAGCATTTTCTAGTGATGATAGTGATGATTTGCATACTCTTGTTTTTCATGATAGAGTGATCCTAAAACCTAGAGAAGACTTTCTTCCAAAGGTAGTATCTAGGTTTCATCTGCTCCAGGAAGTGGTTCTTCCTTCCATCTGCTCCAGGAAGTGGTTCTCCCTTTCTTCTGTTCCTCCCCATCTTCTCCAGAAGAAGAAAAGTACCGGGAACTGGATGTGAGAGAACATATAATCAAGTACATGTCTTTAACTTCTGGCTTCAGAAAAAAACAGTAAATTATTTTTTGCTACCTTCTGAACTTCGTAAATGAGAAGCAGCCTCATCCTCTACCTTAGGAGATGGATAGATTATAACAGATGCCTACCTACAGAACAAGCTAACTCCACCAGCCAAGATTAGAGCTCTCTCTACCAGATCCCTGGCTACATCTTGGGCTAATTGGGCAGAGGTTACTCCGGATGACATCTGTAGGGCAACTACTTGATCCACTCCTATTACCTTTATAAGAAACTAAAAACTGGACCTTCATTCTTCGACTACTTCCTTTGGGAATGGAGTTTTGTTGGACGTTTTTGCATAATAAAAATAAGATATCCTTTGCAGCAATTGGAGTTTTGTGTCAATTATTTTTATTGTTTTCCCCCCCTTTTATTTATATGCTTGGGTATTACATAAGTGATGCTGCCATGATTAGCCAGGAATAAGGAAAATTTTATTACATACCTACCTAGTCATTTTTTTCCCCCTGGCTATTTATCATGGCAGTATCAGTCACCCTCCCTTCTTTCTTTTTAACTAGATGGAAGGAGGAGGGAACTTTTATGCCTTCCGTCGCTCTCTCTCTTTTTTTATTGGTTGACCCTGTCCTGATCTGGTTAGGGGCAGAGTTACCCATAAATGATGCTGCCGTGATAAATAGCCAGGAAAAGAAAATTACTAGGCAAGTATGTAATTTAATTTCCCTTAATCTCAATGCATTTCGTCCACCACTATTGCAGACTTTTTCAAGCGTTTATAAAGTGGTATGTGGGCGCTTACTCTAAATACAGCCCTTGACCAATCAGCTCTCTCGTCCACCAGTGGAAAATATAACGTAATCAAAAGACAAAAACATGAACATATGTTTTATACTATTTTTTTTTAATTAAAAACTAGATAAAACATTGCAAGTGCTGAAACAAACATTTATCTTACAGCATAAGGGCAAAAATGACATTAATATTAACAGTTGTACTTTCTTATGTAATGTAGACATAGAATGTGTACAATAGAATATGTATTGAAAAATATCACCCCCAGAGGCGGTCTATTATAAGATGAATACTCTTTATTATAGATTGTCATTAAGCCTGAATTAAAGAATGTGGAATATGACATTCAATGCCTGCTTTTATTTTCTCTCTTATCTTCCAGTGAATTTAATTAAATAGAAGATATAGAAGAGAGGCCGCTCGATAGCATACCACATGTTATTTTTATGTGGGTAAAAAAAAAAAAAAAGACTAAATGACATTGTTTGTTAATTTCATTTTGTTTTTGTCATTAATGAGTAGAAATGCAGAGACCCGAACAAACACACTGGGAACGATGCGCCGTTGCAGCTGTAAATAAAATTTTGGTGTACCAGTTGCTGTGGACTGTTTTCCTGTTAGCCTCAGCCAGTCAAAAACATATGGCGGTCTGAAACCTCAAGGGAAATATGGTCTACAGCAGCCACAGTAAGTAGATTCACAATGACATAAATAAAGGTGATATCCCTCTTTATCACATGCTTTCCAATAATGTATATTTGTCTACTCTAAACATTTATTAAAATGTTATATCAGTACTCTGATCATAGACAGACAATACAGTTGTACTGTGACATTCCTCACCTGCCAGAAAAGGTATGCAAGTATGTGACAGTAATTATTTAACTACCGTCACAACAAGCCCTTTATTATTTCTCCTCAATGTAACAATTTGCTCTTACACTACTTTTCAGCCTTTAAGCTAAATGGTTACAAAAGAAAATATGGAAAACAAAATGAGGAAATATTAGCTCTAAAAAAAACATTAACTATCTACAGCTCACATTCCCTTCTTTTTGAGGACATGTTCTATTTGTGAATCATCTAAATGTGCTTGAGTTGCCATCTGTCTTGGTTGATGGAAGCCCACTTACAAAATAAAAAATAAAATAAAATAAAAAATGCCAATAGCGTATGCTTTTCTTTTGGAGTAAGCATTAAACAGTTTAAGACAATTGAGAGCCGGATCTCTTTTTATTAAAATTGTGGAAACTATAAAATCATGTCACTGGATATCACCGAAATGGGAAAGGGTGAGTTGGGATCACTGCTTCCCCAAAGTGAGCAAGAAGTGACAATGGAAATCAAAGGTAATGCAGCAAGTAATGTTTGGATATACTGAAAAGAAAACAAACAAACAGTTAAATACAAAAATAGATCTGTAAAAGTATAGCACCCTAAATACAAATCTAAAGAAAACAAGTACACGGTTATATTTTAACTTCTAAAACTAACTATATTTCTGACATGGTTTTGATATTTTAGGCAGAAGTCAGTGTGTGGTTTGGCATGTAACGATTTCTTAAAATCGTACATATCATTACAAACACTAACAGGGCTATTCAGTAAAATAAGAATTAAAAGTGAGTTTCAAAGTTAAAGCTAAAATATCCATAGCGGTTTAGAGAATGTTTCCAGTTTGTCTCTTTAGGTCTTAAATTTGAAATTCTATTTGAATTCTCACTTTAGTAAATGACCTTGTGATGAGTTATATTCTTCTACCATGTAGAGGGGTTGGCGATATAACAAAAAACAAAATGCAATATAGATTATCAAAGAGGATGATATGGTTGAGTTATGTTCCTGTTGAAGTATACGACTGAAACACGGAGCAATGGTTGTCTTGGCTTGACTACCTAGTTCGAAGAGACAGAGAAGTGCCATTGGGTGTAGGCAGGGTGATGGACCCATAATTTCAACACTATTCTGACTATGTACTCTACCTTTTTGCTTACTTACTACTCACATCAGCCTACTCTCCAATCTTATACTTTACACATCACTGATGTCCTGAACGGTCTTCTATTCGCAAATTCCACCACGGGAAAGGGAGAGGTTACATGCAGGAAACATAGGCCACCCGAGGAACGTGACTCTGCCAATGCCCACACAGTTTGTAATGGTCTGAATAACACTAATGCTAAGGGAATGCTCCCCCTGGTTGAATACTGTGTGAGACGGTTGTTAATGCCTTAATGTTGTCTTTTATTGTTTGCACTTCTTACTGTAAAACGTTTGAAAACTCAAAGAAAAAAATAAATATGTATTTTGACTGAAATGGTTTACGTTTAAAACCCTGTGACTTCCAAAATAATAGTTTATTAGTCAATTGTGACGGTCATGAGTCCAGTTAAAAGCTTGCCCACAGGTGAAAAAATGTCCAATGTTCACACTGAATGTAGGTTTTCAGAAAATGTCCTATGTGTCCGAAGAAATAATGAACACCATCAGTGTCAGTTTGGAAAAGACTTGTTAGAAAAGATAGACAGCCATGGATTTCCAAATGAAAGTCTGCTGCCCCAATTTTCATCTTCACTGATGGCATTCAATGTAATATCATTGGACATGCGGCCTTGGTTTCAGAATTAACTTTCCCGTCTGTAAAAATAAGACAAATGTTTTTTACATAGTTATGGAGGAAAACAACCGCATTAGTTGGGTACAATACACATGGGAATCATTGTATGTTATGTAGTATAGATGTGAAAGGAGTAAGCACCTTTAACCTGATGCTACCCATAACCTTCTGATATTTAAAGAGCATAACAATCTCTCAGAAACAAAGAAAAGGTCAGGAATATGATAATAAAAGACTTCTACAAAAGGTATCCGTTACCGTATGAGGTAACATTGTTTGCTAATTTAGAAAAGAAAAAACACACAAAAGTATTACACAGTTAATTGGGCTCAAATTATACAGATAAATTTACACACTCCATCAATATGCCACCAATAGTCACTAGCTATTAGGATTGCGGTTATAGCCAAGACATAGCGCTCACTGGCACAAAGAAGTATAGTTACATTACAATACAGAGTGAACAGAAGACTCAAGTCGATCAAGTTCAGCTGTTCACCTATGTATGTTACAGTCGATGAGCCAACAGAAGGCAAAAAACAGTATAAAGTGATTTCTAATACATCAGCAATTTTTCTAAATACATCAAATAGGTCAATTCTTACTGCTGTACATTTTTGTATTTTGCAATTAAAGTGAGTGATACAGTTCTGTTGGTGCTAGGGGTTTTAAAAGTAGGTTTTCAAGCAGCAGAGAAATGCTATGAGAGACAGACAGGGATAGAAATACGCACATCATCGCAGGACATATTGTATTCTGCCAACACCGTTCGACATCGGGCCGCTATTCTGATGAAAGTAGTCAAGAAATAAAATCCAACAAATACTACAGAAGTATGCCTGACACATTGATTAGCTATATAACTACCTGAAACAATATAGTGTGTAGTGATGAAATGTGTAATAAAAAAGAAAAAGTATGTAAAAAAAAGTCTGTATTTAAATGGTAAAGTTAGTAAAAAAAAAAAAGCACTGGCTAGGAGTGCTGGTTTTCTCTATCCACCAATCCATCCAAAGCCTTATTGGCTACTATTCTGTTTATGGAAATGATGATGAAACTATATTATACATTTCAACATAAAGTGCTCTTAGTGCCTTGTAGAGATTATTGCATTACTTTGCACACATGTTCATAAAGTGCAGAGATTTAATTCATTTTTACTGCTCACATCTAATTTTGAATGTAAAGCATTGGACACAAGACACGCCGATGTAAAAGAAAGAGAAGAGAGGGGGTGGTGGGGGGAATAACATGGATAACAATGGCTTTGACCAGGAAAGTTGTTCCCTTTGAAAATGTTATACAGCGTGGTCCAAAATTCAGAATAGGATTTGACAACTTAATTGTTAGTGGTTAAATTTTTTTGTTACAGTACATATTATAACGGAGTCTTACGAGATTCATCATAGGTAATTTCAAGAAGGAACAATGAGCAAAAATAGTGGAATTTTATTGGTGTGAGATATCAGCATACGATTGGAAATTTTTTACATCCTGAAATGTGGTTTCAACAGGATGCGGCTACTACCCATCCAGCCCGGGCCACAATGGATCTTGAGACAACTGTTCGGTGAGTGGATCATTTTAATAAATTCCCAGATTAATTGGTTGCCACCTTTGTCGGACCTTTCAGCTCCCGATTACTTCCTGTGGAGATAGCTGAAGGGTGTACGTGAACAAACCACGTACACTTGAGCAGCAAAAAGGAGAATATCTGTGCAGTAATTCAAGCACTAGAGCCTCAAACATTAACTTATGTTAGGAACAATGCAATCGAAAGAGCATGACTTGGTGACTGGCACATAGAGATCATTCAAAAGACGTCATCTTCTGTACGAAGTCAAACAAATCTCCATACGTTAAGCCTTCAGTGTAAAAACTGTCACTTAAATTAGTTCATTAATAAAAATAAAAAAGATAAAGTTATTAAAGTCTCAAACCCTACTCTGAATTTTGGTCCACCCTGTATAACTACATAAATTTTATTTCAATTAATAAGTTATTATTTTATTCTGCATTACCAATTTCTACATTTAAATTCTGTTTCTCGGAGCTTGTTGAATATAGAGACTAAGTAAGCACAAAATTAAAAATCCAGGGAAGAGAGTTTATTTTTAATATTTGGTCAAAATCTCTCAAAAACCATAGACACTCCAATAAAAACAATGGGATTGACACTTCCTGGAGTCTGTTTGGGTATTTTATATATAGAGGGCTCAACTGCAGCCTCAAGTGTCCCATAAAAGGAAGATGGCTTGTAATTTGCATGTACCCTAAGGTTTGTGAGACTTTATTTCAACAATTCATTAACAAGAATGCAAGCAATAACAGAGCATGGATAATCTCTTGCAAGTTGACCAGCCTCCTTTTTTGGGGCAACCAAGGAAATTCTCTCTATATTTGTTTTGCTTTCTTATTGAGCTGCAGGAAGATACAAATTGTTTTGAGGCCACAATAAAAAACAAAAAACAAACAATGAGTGGACAGACTTGAAAACAGGATGGTAATTTACATGATGTGTAGGATATTTGTGACAATATGCATTTACAAACAGAAAAGAAGGAAAAAAAAAAAAAACAAACAAAAAAAAACCATGCAGCCATTCATAAAATTTAAAGGATACATCGATGGAGCCACCACTCTTTTGTGAATTCCAGCAAAGAATAAAGCTATCAAAGTTATACAGCTGATTGTAAAGAAAGGATGGTTCCAGAGGGATGTGAAAAATGACACCTAAAAAAATAAAATATAATTTAAAAAAAGAATTACTGAACCATCCCTAGCACACACACAAAAAAAAAAAAAACAATACAAGAAAGCTGCATATTCTTATTAAAAAAGGAATACATTAAATTAACAGATGGAATGAAATAAAGCTATGTGTAATATAAATAAAATATTGATACCATTTAAAGTGAACTGGTTATGGAAAAATTAACTTACCTGAAATCTCTCCCATATACATTGAATACACCATATATCACAAAGATACCTGGTGTATTCAATGTAAATATAAAAATGTACTCACTTTTTCTCCATTCCAGCGCCGCTTTGTGAGTGTTACTCTTGGTACTCGCCTGCACTCCTCCTGCAGTCTTCTTTGATTTGGCATTCCCAAGCAGGTTAAATCTCGTCAGTGACATTGCCGTCACTCTGTTCCTATGGTCCCTAGCCCTCGCTAGAAGCACCTGGCTGGGGAGTTTCCATAGCAACCAAAGCGCATGTGCTGTGGTTGCTATAGGTGGAGAGCAGAGGGACCTCCCATTGGATTTTTTTCTGCTCTCCCTGGTCAATGACATCGACTGACAGCTGTGATAGAAAAATATTTTTAAATAGGTTTTTCTCCTACTCTACATAAAACTAGCAAAACTGCAAGCGCAATGTGTAGGTAGAATGGCATGCTCAATTTAATGAGCATAAGTTGCTTGGGGCACGACAGGTCCCCTTTAACTGTAAGAAACTGCAATGATTACATTGCAGGATTGACTCCACCTCTAGTTTATATTTACTAAGAAATAATGATAAAAGGTACAAATCGAAACAAAGCCAAAACAAGAAGAACAAGAAAAAAAAGTAAATAAAATTTATATTTAATAAAATTAAAATATTATTAAAACAAAATCTTCCCATTCTAGAACGTATGTTTATCCTGGTACTCAATCTGGCATTTCGATATATATTCTCCTTGTCAAGTTGCAGTGTTTGAGGACTTTTATATGGTGCTTATTTTCATTTATATCAAAACTAAGAATAAAGTTGTGACAGTAGTCGGATGGAAGACAGACACTAAGTGTGGGTCCCCAGATTTATTTTTTGTTTTTGGTGCAGGGTAAGTTGAATGTATTGCTTGTCTGTGCCTCTCCCCCTTTTTCCTGTCCTATTTTTTCCCCAGCAGGGTGTTGTCCCAGGGACACTGCCAGACCAGTTTAAACAAGCTGTTTTGTCCCTCCTCAATCTCCCATCAGCCCTTGCTATTGTCTGACCCCACCCTTCCTTGTACTATACTGCTTTATGCACCATTGTATGTAAATGCGGCTTTTGGGGGCTTTAAATATGTGTGCTATGTGTATTAAAGTTAGTTGCTGTTTGAGTACTAGAGCTCTGTCACAAAAGTCCTCAACCTATTCAAACGAATATTGAACCCCACATATGAATCCATGATTCGCACATGGAGCACAACAAACACATTCACATGGACAGTATACTGACATATTTTCCTTTATATACCTACATGACACTTCATGGACTAAACAAAAAAATAATTCTGGTAACACCAGGAAACCAAACCTTTTGTGTCTCTGGATCTATTAACCAGTTCCATGCTCCTGTTGCAGTGCACACAGAGACCACTATGAGAATCACTAGATATAAGAAACAAAACAAATCATTAGTATTATTGTGTCAATTATAACAAGCAAATTAAAATTGTCGATGAGTGAACAAGAATTTTGACATCACAGGAAGAAAAATAAGTTTGATATAAACAGGGACTCTTCACTGGTAGAATCCAGAATTAATAAAATTTTCATTATCATTGTGACCACCAAAATAGGGGTGGTCCCACAAAAAACAGGAAGATCCTGGTTTTAAAGGGTTACTTGAAAGCCAGCTGTAGTTATTAGAACGTGAGGAGTACCACTGCCCTGTTATCCTTTATTGGGGCAAACCATTTTGCAATGGTTTAACCTCTTAACAGCTCCTTCAAGGTGCCTGGTCTTCTTTATGGCTGACAGTGATTTGCACCCAGCTTCTGAAGAGCTACAGAGCCCGATTCTGCTGGACATTCATTGGCTGAGAGCGTCAGCTGACTGCTCTCAACAATTACTGCAATTGTGTGCAAAGAGGCATGCACATAACTGACATTAGGCAGCCCAGAACTCTAGTTCTGGGATGGCTGGTAACACCGCAGTGATGCTGCCAGATGTGGTGTTACACATCTAGCAACAGAGGGGTTAAACTCTGGATCTGCAGCATTTCATAGCAAATCCAGGCACCATGACCACTTCAAAATCAATGAAGCGGGCATGGTGCTTAGAGTAACCCTTTAAACTGGGTGATGATTGCAGCACACTCTAAGCAACACAATCTCTGCAGTGAGCTGTAGTGTTTAGGTTGCTTAGATTGTCCCTTTAAAAGAAAAAATTCCATTTTTTTTGCACCCATAATTTTAAGGGGGAGCATTCGTATCCTGAAAGGAGATGCTTCACTTGCAGGGTTTCACACAAGGACCTCGCGAGTGGAGCCTGGTCGAGAAGGGTACCGCTGTGAGGGTCCCTGGAATTGGTGTGGGCACTGGCGAGTTTGGCGGGCTTGTCGGTGACTGCAGGGACAAAGAGACCAGCTCTTTTCCAGAAGGCAGGCTTTTCTGTACCTGGGAGACAAAGGGACAGCCCACTTTCCCGTGCCTGGACTCCCAGGCACAGAGCCTCCTGGGAAGAAGACCCCCTGGCCGCTAGTGTGGGAAGCCCTGTGTTTTCAGTGGTGGGCTTTGGGGACAAAGGGAACCAAGTCCCTTCCCGCGCTTGGGTCCCAGGGAGGATCTTGGGATATGACCTTGTATGTCTGTGTGGGAAACCCCTTGCACGGGGTTATGCATAAAAGCCGTGTATGGCGAATAAAGCGTTGGTGTACCTCCAGGACTGTGTGTCATCTAGTTACTAGGGGGAATTGGTCTCTTTATATCCTAAATGGTTCCTGACCGGCTGAAGGAATGGAATTAGCGGAGGTAACCAGTCGGGTTACACTGGGTCCACTACATATATACCATAACAACTAGAATAACAAATGATTTTTTGAATGAACTTTTTGTGTCAATACAAAAAAAGAAAAAACAAAAAACGCTGTTTCTTCCATTAGATATAATGCAGAAATCATATGGTAAAATTCCTAACAAAATCCAATTTAATAGCTGGTTGCACCACTACACGATAGATGAATACTTGTGAAAGGCAGTGCAATCTTTGAACGCAAATAGCAAGTAACTTACTTCTCCAGCGTCCTGTAGCTGGCTGCAAACAAGAAACATATTCTGTAAGTCTTCTTTCAAAGGCTTTTAAATCTAGACAGGAAAGATAAAACCAGAAGTAAAATACAGTTTATAGTTTTAAAATATAAAAACACCCCACAAAATTTCTGCACAAAAGTATGGCAGGGTTTAACATTCTTAAATGCAATCTTAATTTTTTTTTTTTTTTGGTATATGTTCTGGCCGACGTTCTTTCAAACTCCAAATCTTGTTTTGGAATTCTAGAAACTTTAAATAAATACTATTCCATTTAATTTTCTATGAACCGTAAGTATCTTTCAATAAATCTCACTTTCTAAAAAGACATTTACTTTCTTTTAAAAAGGCTGCCATGAAAACACAAATTTACAGTAAATTAGATATTTTGATTGGATTAATGTCACATTTACAACTTGCTCACTACAGTGCTAATGGTGTCAGGAGCACCCTGGTGTTCCCCGGTAAGAGTGGAAATTGTTTTGCTATGGTTCATCACTTATGATCTGGTTGGGTCCTGAACCACAATGAATGGCGGCTGTACAAGCTGGATGTGGATACTGCCGCTCAATTATTCGCTTAGAGTATCAGTGGAACGTTCTCAGCCATAGGATGATCATATACGCGTAAGCAACATTAATAAAGGGAGATTACAGGCGCCCAGACCACTTCAGCTCATTGAAGTGGTCTGGGTGCAGTTGCCCTATCCACCTTAGTCATGCAATGTAAAACAATACAGTTTTAGAGAAACTGCAATAATTACATTGCAGGACTAAGACAGCCACTAAAGGCACTTCCTGGTGGTAAAGCGAGTTTTGGTCGCCTGACGCGCTTTCCTATGGGAAGGGGCCTAATGCACTTGCGGCACATGCGCATTAGCCCTTCCTGTCAGATGACGTGGTGCACTGACCCAGGGCCGAGAGATATCGGCACTTGTATCGGGTAAGTGTTAAAAAGGTTATTTGAACCTCGCAGTCCCAGGGTGGATGGGAGGGAAGAGGGAACTATAGTGTAAGGAATACAATTTTGTATTCCTACCACTATAGAATCCCGTTAAATATCTCAGTAAGTACAACTTTTTTACTGAAATGCTGTAAATACGGGTTCCTTGCACCATGACCATTTTAAAACATCGAAGTGGTCATGGTGCTTGGAGTAAACCTTTAAGGCTTTACATTTGGATTTAAACTTACCAGCCATATTAGATGAGGCAGGAAAGTCCTGATTTGGAAATCCTGTCCCACAGACCCCTGTGTTTTCTCTTCTACACTGCTTCTTGGGAACACCAAAAAAAAAAAAAAGTCCCAATCAAGCACGTCATTGAATGCATTTAAGGATGTATACGAGATTGCAGAACTTTTCTGTTCATGCAAAAACACTTTTGCAGTGCTCTGGTTAACAGACACTGTCTTTTCAGATGGTCTGTTGCTGCTCATTACAATAATGCACAACACAGTCACTGTATGTTTAAATATTGAGGAAGTACATGATTGGATCGGATAATCAAACGCTCTATGAACCAGTGAAAGACAATTTGTAGCTCTACAACTGTTGTGCAACAATAAAATTATGTAAGGTGCAGAATGGCGGTTATAAGAAGGGACTTGTAGATTCACTGCAAGAGGAGGACTGGCTGAGCAATGCAATTCGACACACTAATCAGTTCATCAATTAATCTAACAGTGGTCCTAATGTTCAATAATCATTCTATGCGTATGCTCATGAATATTTTGGGAGATTTCTCAATCACTTCTTTACACAATTTAAAACATGAACTACTTGCATCTTTTACTACTTAACGTTCACCTGCTCTATACTTTGCATTTTGATAAGTTCATGACACAAATTAAGAACAATCATCTAGCCTACACCACAGTGACGTCTTGCTGGAATAAAGTGTGCATCAGATCCAAAAAGAAACACATTCTGGAAAGGAAAACTGCCCAAGGTGCCTCGTGCAAGCTGGACATTTTTACCTCCATTAAGTCCTCACACAACAAGTACTGAACATTGGATATAATTAATATGCACTGAATTTCAGGTTGTCCCAGCATAATCTTCATTTTGACACAGGAAGCTTTTTTCTTTTTTTTAATAAGGAGATTTTATTGGGTGAAAAAAAAAATAAATCAAAAACCAGCGGCTTAACTAACTGTGCCCAAACTGACAGCTAATCTTTAAAGAGGGAGTATTAGCAAAATAGTTTGTAATGGGTAATACAGGCAATAATAATAATATAACTACTTGTATGGCTTATTTACAGGCAGTATGCCTTCTCACTCAATATTCCTGGCTTACAAGATAACTTTACATATGTCCTCCACGAGTCTTACTCTGCCCCTTTAAATGTCAGCAATCACAGCACTATCATAGAACCACTCACTGACAAGAAGCAGAATCCAGCTGGAGTGGAAATACAAGGTGTCAGTTTCTCCTAAACAGATACCTTACCCATTGTCTTGGGCACTAAATAACAATATAACAGTGCCGGCCTAGCTTTGGATACTGAATACTAGCAACAGTCCCAGGATAGCCATTGATACCAAGTACTAGTAGAACAGTACCATGCTAGATTTGGTTACTAAACACAAGTAAAATGGTGCCAGGCAAGCCTTGACAACTACATACAAGTATAACAGTGCCAGCTTATCTTGGGTAAAAAGTACCAATATTATAGTACCTGGCAAGCCTTGGATGCTATGTACTAGTATACAAATACCAGGCACACATTGAGTAATACTTACTGGTATAACAGTGTTTACCCTGCCATAGCCACAATGTCTAACAGTGTATAACAGTGTAAAGATATAATTTGCTACTAAGAAGTGGTATAAGTGTGCCAGGATAGCCTTGGCCACCAAGTACTAGTATAACAGCGCCAGGTTAACCTTAGCTACCAAGTACTGGTATAACAGTACCAGGGTAGTCTTGGCTACTAAGTACTGGTATAACAATGCCAGGATAGCCTTGGTTACTAAGTACTGGTATAACAATGCCAGGGTAGCCTTTGCCACCAAGTACTGGTATAACAGGGTCTGGTTAGCCTTTGCTACTAAGTACTGGTATAACAGTGCCAGGGTAGCCTTGGTTACCAAGTACTGGTATAACAATGCCAGGGTAGCCTTGGTTACCAAGTACTGGTATAACAGTGCCAGGGTAGCCTTGGTTACCAAGTACTGGTATAACAGGGCCAGGATAGCCTTGGTTACTAAGTACTGGTATAACAGTGCCAGGGTAGCCTAGGAATAGCAGTGCCAGGGTAGCTAGGAATAGCAGTGCCAGGGTAGCTAGGAATAGCAGTGCCAGGGTAGCCTGGGTATAGCAGTGCCAGGGTAGCCTGGGTATAGCAGTGCCAGGGTAGCCTGAGTATAACAGTGCCAGGGTAGCCTGGGTATAACAGTGCCAGGGTAGCCTAGGAATAGCAGTGCCAGGGTAGCCTGGGTATAGCAGTGCCAGGGTAGCCTGGGTATAACAGTGCCAGGGTAGCCTTGGTATAGCAGTGCCAGGGTAGCCTTGGTATAGCACTGCCAGGGTAGCCATGGTATAGCAGTGCCAGGGTAGCCTGGGTATAACAGGACCAGGGTAGCCTGGGTATAGTAGTGCCAGGGTAGCCTGGGTATAGCAGTGCCAGGGTAGCCTGGGTATAACAGTGCCAGGGTAGCCTAGGAATAGCAGTGCCAGGGTAGCTAGGAATAGCAGTGCCAGGGTAGCCTGGGTATAGCAGTGCCAGGGTAGCCTGGGTATAGCAGTGCCAGGGTAGCCTGAGTATAACAGTGCCAGGGTAGCCTGGGTATAGCAGTGCCAGGGTAGCCTGGGTATAGCAGTGCCAGGGTAGCCTGAGTATAACAGTGCCAGGGTAGCCTGGGTATAATAGTGCCAGGGTAGCCTAGGAATAGCAGTGCCAGGGTAGCCTAGGAATAGCAGTGCCAGGGTAGCCTGGGTATAACAGTGCCAGGGTAGCCTGGGTATAGCAGTGCCAGGGTAGCCTGGGTATAGCAGTGCCAGGGTAGCCTTGGTATAGCAGTGCCAGGGTAGCCTTGGTATAGCAGTGCCAGGGTAGCCTGGGTATAACAGTGCCAGGGTAGCCTTGGTATAGCAGTGCCAGGGTAGCCATGGTATAGCAGTGCCAGGGTAGCCTTGGTATAGCAGTGCCAGGGTAGCCTGGGTATAACAGTGCCAGGGTAGCCTGGGTATAACAGTAGCCAGGGTAGCCTGGGTATAACAGTGCCAGGGTAGCCTGGGTATAGGTAGCCTAGCAGTGCCAGGGTAGCCATGGTATAGCAGTGCCAGGGTAGCCTTGGTATAGCAGTGCCAGGGTAGCCTGGGTATAACAGTGCCAGGGTAGCCTGGGTATAACAGTGCCAGGGTAGCCTGGGTATAACAGTGCCAGGGTAGCCTGGGTATAGCAGTGCCAGGGTAGCCTTGGTATAGCAGTGCCAGGGTAGCCTGGGTATAGCAGTGCCAGGGTAGCCTGGGTATAACAGTGCCATGGTAGCCCTGTATGATTGGTAAACAGTGCAGGACTAGATTTGAGCATGCTAGCTATATTATCCATTAGTCTGGCCGAACAGAAGCAGCTGGCCCACCCCGGGACCAGCACCATTAAATCACACCTGCTGCCCTATTAGTAGCCCACCTTCCGCCTGTTCCAGGGAATTCATCTCTGAATCCTACACTATCTTCCTGCTCACAGCTTCACTTCCTGCCTGCAGAATGTATCCTCTCCGCTGATTGGCCAATCCCCACGCGTCTTTTTTTTTTGGTTTGGCCGAGAAATCACAAAACCTTCTCCTGATTGGCCGCTGGGGCTCCGCCCCTTCACGTTGTGGACCACATTGGGGTGACACGGAGGAAAACGTCAAACGTGCGGCAAAACCACGCAAACATGCGGCGCCCGCGCGCTCCGGGTTTTGATTGGCTGGCACGGCTGTCGCTTGTTGAATGGCGTGTCTTGGTTGGTCGCGTTGCTACCTGGGAGGGGTTATGAACCGGAAGAAGTAGTGGATGCTGCTGCTGGTCAGTATGTAAAGCTGCAGTACCTGGTTACTGCTTATAACAGTATTATTCTGTAACACTGAGTTATGTTGGTTACTCACTGTGGGGCCCAGTGCAGGGGTTACTCATAGAGTAAGGCTCTGTACCAGGCTTCCTCCTCACTGGTCAGTGTGTCTCCCAGGCAGTCAATTACTCACGTGAAGCAGTCTAGATGTCTCATTATACCTTATAGAACAGGGGTAGACAACCTTTAGGACTCCACATGTTATGGACTACATCATCAATGCTGCTTTGCCAGCATTATGGCTGTAAGAGCATTATGGGAGATGTAGTCCACAACATCTGGAGTGCTGGACTACATATCCCATAATGCTATACAGCCACAATGCTGGCAAAGCATCATATGAGATTATATCCCACAACATCTGTAGTGCAGGACTACATATCCCATAGTGCTGGCAAAGCATCATATGAGATATAGTCCACAACATCTGGAGCGCTGGACTATATTTCTTCGACATCAAGTTCAGCCTTTCTCTTTGCATGTCCAGGCTGTATGTAAACTGATGGCAGTTGTGATATTGGTTCTATCAGTTTGCAGATTGGTAGTGGTTAATTGTACAGTAATCTCTTCCTGGTTAGGACATCTGCAGACAGAGCCACTTCAGAACACAGCAAATGAAACATCAAAGTTTTTTCACTTTGTACAATGCATTAAACACTATGGTATAATTTTTCCCATATCGTTTTCCTGTCAACATGCTAATATATTAAACAAAATTGCTCAGATTCTGTTGCCAGATTACAATGTTATTGAGAGGCACATTATTTCTGCTGTCTTGTGTTTGGAATTTATGAGCACCGATATGTAATTAAGTAATCATTGAAGATCTTGTGATTAACTGATTTGTTATCAGGAGCTCATGGATTTCAATGTATGCTGTGTTATAAAGAAATTTGGAAAAAGTACATAGTTACATGATAAAAAAAAAAAGTCCATCTAGATCTGCATTTTAAACTTATCTGTTTATGCTGTTAGAGTCAGGCATGTCATAAATATAAGTGGATTTATGTAAAGAATTGGAGACTAGGAAAAAGTCTAATAGTTAAAGTAAGTGAATTTATTCGATTAAGGCAGTTATGGAGAAGCCTTGTAGCAAGGGTTAGGGTTATGAGGGCACATACAGGTTATTCACGGAGTAGAGAGGCTTTGGTGGGTTGTATTTGTTGATTGCTCCATACTCCGTAGGTGAGCACTAGTATTTTAAATTAAATTGCAAAGGAAATAGAAAGTCAGTAAGGAGCGCCAAAGAGGCACAGTGTGATAGGAGAGAGGTAAGCAAAATAAGTCTGGCATTGTCCTTTATTATAAACTGCAAAAAAGATAATCTGGGTTTGACCAATAAAGAATAGGTGCTGTAATCGAGGCTTAGAGTAATCAATGCATATACAAGATCTCTGAATACTTCTTAGGTTATAAATTGGACAATATGAGTACATTGAAAGCAGCAAGAACTATAGATTTGTCAAAAGTGGTGAGTAAAATATATATCAGAGTCAAAATAAACTCTCAGGTAGCAGGCTTGAATGGTAGGATTGATGGTTATACCATTGAGCTGAAGGGTGATTGACAGATGTGAATGTATTTATGGGAGGAAAATCAAATAGTTTGTTTTTAGAGATATTAAATTTTAGGGAGGATACAGTCATCCAGTTAGAATTGGTGACACAAACCAAGGGGGTGGGAAAAGAAATCTGAGAAACATAAGCCCTAAGTGTCTTCAGCATAAACAACTGGAATCAAAATGCAGTTCGACTGTGAAAAGTGAAAACAGAGACTTGGGTGCCCCAAGGAACCAAGGAAGCTGTCACATGGGAGAGAGCCAAGAAATAGCAGTGGCATATGAAGAGCAGAATTAAGAATTGGAAGCATTAGAAGCAAAATCAAGAAGAAAAAAGCCAGTCACTTTGATGGCCACTAGAGGTGCTTCCTATTCAGTGCATCACCTACGTTCAGCATGGAGACGTTGAACGCTCCCATAGAGATGGATTGATTCAATGCATCTCTATGAGATGCTGATTGGTGCCCATAGTGTTTTTTTCCCATGGGAAAGCATTGGATTGGCTACAGTCATCGAGATTGATGATCTCCGCAATCGATGTGGCAAGACTGTCACGTCAAGGGAGAAATGGTAAGTTAAGCTACCTTTTAACACCACTCTGAAGGGGGCCGGCGAGTTAAATATTTATTCCAGCATTATAGTATTAGGAATGCATGTTCCTATTCCTAGCACTGGAGTGTTCCTTTACATTTGAAATTCACTGAATTCTGAGCAAGTTTATCTTTAGCAATTAAACATGTTAATTTTATTAGCAATCAAATAATTTGCCACTTTAGCTAGAACTGTTTCATTAGAGTACCGAAAACAGATTGAAGTGGGTCAAGTAAAGAGATACCACTGAGTAAGATAGCAAGAAGCATGTAAGAGAAAGCGCCTAAGGAAATAGGACAACTGTTGGACTGAGAATTTGGGTCAAGAGAGGGATTTTTAGGATTGGGTGCTCATTGCATATTTATGGAAATGCTATAAGAAGAACAAAGATTTTAGTTGGGGTTGAAAGAGTGAATGTTAGAGATTGAGGTAAACGTAAGGTCGTAGGAACAAGTGGACAAGTAAAGCAACTTGGGTTTTCTGTCTTACTTTATCATTATTTTCTGTAAAAACAAACTATCACTTCTTATTCATGCACCCCAATAAACACTATTGCAGCATTTCCTGGGATGAATACAGCAGTTGAGGTAAGTAAAAACGTACCCCTGAGTCCCTCATTCCAGGTGACTAGAGTCATCCCATAATGCATCGGGGTCTTTCATGCAGCACACCTGGACATCAATGAATAAATTCTGTGCGATTTTATTTTTCCAGCACATTGATGAAGCATGACAATCAAAATTAATCTATTAAGAATTAAAAACTAAAAAAAAAAAGTAGCACAACCAAGTGCTTTCTTTAATTGGCTCTTTCGTTATGCTAACTTTACAGAAGTGGCAGTTCTATGTAAAGGATGTTGTAAATTTGATCACAGTGATGAGTGTTATAAAAAGCATTTTATTTGATTTTGATTACATCTTCACTAGATTTATGGGTTGTAAAATATATACGAATATATCAAAAGGGTATTGCTAAGGTGATACAAACATTCTGTTTATGGAAGATAAGTCCAGTGATATTACTAGCTCAGTGAAAAAAAATAGTTTTATTAATATTAGCTATCTAGAAAACCAATATCATATTCAATATAACACCATGTGACTGAAGAATTTAACAAATAATGTAATCAATCATGACTATACTTTAAAGGGACACTATAGCCACTAGAACCACTACAGCTAAATGTAGAGGTTCTGGGCCATAGAAGCTATCCCTGCAGCTACAGCTCTTCTCTCAGAAACAATACTGTTTACACTGCTGCCTAACGCCACTTCTACACATCTGAAAGCTATAGAGGTACTTCCTGGGTTTGGTCCTGCAAAGATTGCAGGGTCAATAATCAGTGTCTCTAGATCTTGCATGGGGATCATGAGAGCTCCCCAAAGAGTTTCATTGGCTCAGTGCATCTCTCGGAGGAGATGCTGATTGGCGCAGTTTCACAATTTATCATGCATGTGCATTAGCCTTCCAATTCTTCCCTATGGGGAAGCATTGACTTGGCTGCGATCATCAGGATTGATGATCTTAGCTGGAAGGTGAGGCATCCATGGCGAGACTGGTGTGCTGGGGGAGTATTGGTGAATCCCTCTTTTTTCCCTCTCAAATACTTGATAATCCAAACAGGTAGGTTAACACTTCAGCTTTAGGAATATATGTTTGTATTTCTAGTGCTATGATGTTCCTTAAAAAAAAAAATAAAAAAAAATAGGTAAACACTTTTAAAATAAGTCTAATTGTAATATTTGTGCAAGTTTTTAAAGTTACTTGTAGCTCACTTACATTGTACATGGTGGTATGAAAAAGTAAAAAATTACTGTAAAACACGATAATACAACATCATTATTTAAAAAATTGCCTGATAAGAAAGTAGTTGAAAAAAATTACTTCAAATGTCATAACATAGGTCTGTTATTAAATAGACAAAATGTGCATTTTTGTAGCAACTGTTTACCATATATGTTGAGCATTATGACTATTCCATTCTGATATAATATATATATTTTTGTATTTTGGGGCAGATCCATTTTGGTTACCACTATGATGATACACGGATTTAAGAGTAGCAATCAAGATTTCAATTTTGGGCCATGGAAGGTGACAGCGACCAAGACCCATATAATGAAGTCAGCTGACGTGGAGCAACTAGCTGAAGAAATGCATATGCCATGCCTCCCAGAAATGATGTTTGGTGCGAATGTGTTGAGAATTCAGCACTCTTCTGGCTTTGGGATTGAGTTTAACGCTAAAGATGCTCTAAAAAGGGTGAACAAATATCAGGGAGCTGTTCAAGTAGCTTGTGCTGAAGAGTGGCAGGAGAGTAGGTCGGACAGTGAGCATAGCAAGGAGGTGGTGAAGCCATATGACTGGACGTACACAACAGATTACAAGGGAACGTTTCTTGGTGACAGCCTGGTATTTAATGTTGTCCCAACGACAGAACGAATAAACATTGAGAAACTGAAGACAAGAGAGCAGATCATGTTCTTTGAGGAGGTTCTACTATTTGAAGACGAGCTTCATGATCACGGAGTGTCCAGTCTCAGTGTCAAAATAAGAGTGATGCCTTCCAGTTTTTTTCTTCTTCTTCGGTTCTTCTTGAGGGTCGATGGGGTGCTCATTCGCATGCATGATACTCGGCTGTATCACGAGGCAGATAAGTCATTTATGCTGCGCGAGTACACCTCTAGAGAAAGTCAAATATCCAACCTGAGTCACGTTCCTCCCCCTCTCTACACTGAGCCCAATGAGATCTCTCAGTATTTACCAGTTACGCAGTCAGTTTGTGAAAAGCTGGAGTTCCCAATACTAGCTGAGGCTGAAGTTGCAGCACCTACAGTACCAACTAGTGTACCAGAGCCTTAAATTGTAGATTGGATGCAAAATGTTCTTTCAGCAGCAGATCAATTGAACTCACAGTCACCTGATCATTTTATTGTGGGGAAACCATGTTTTCTGTAACCACTGAAACACAGAATTAAGTCCACCAGAGTTTGCAGACCCATTGTAAGGATGCCCATATTCTTGAAGCAATAATCTGCAGGATGTTTCCAGATTTGGAATGAGATACTATTTTGATTCCTTGAAATTATACACTTCTCTAATATTCTGTATGATGGTTTGCTCAATAGAGTATGATATTATGTAATGGACGGGAACTAAGCTGCACTGAGACAAAGAACGTTTCACTTTTACACAAGATTTGAGTGTCTATTCCAGAACAGCAGTCCCTACACCAGGTGTCATGCACCCCAAAAGTTCCAAGTTTTGACAATTTCCTAATTCTGTTCCATTGGAGCTAAAACATATACATAAATATCTCCCTGCTTGTAAATATATGAAGGCTTATTTGGGAACCACATGTCTACATAGTGCTACTGAAAACTAGTACTTGCTCACATGGGTTAGTGAACCTGATAGTTTACTGGGAATCTTTTTGTTAAGCCGGAACTTTTTGCTGTTTGTGATGGACATTAAAAAAATATTGCAAAGGTGATTTACATGTCTCTTGCTAAACCATTAATGTACTGTATTCGAAACCCACACTTTCTCACTTAACCGTAAGTTCTATAAGTAAAATATTCTGGCGGAAAAAACAATTAATAAAAACAGAAACATTATTCTGCTTGATCGTGTGCAAGACATTTTATTTTCTTACATATACAGCATTTGTAAGTAAGCATGGAAATCTGTTTCATGGTTATGTGTAATTATAGTCCTATTAAATGAACTCACTAACGTTAGTAATTCAAACATGTATTCACACCTACATGTATACATGTAGGTGTGATTTAAATTAAGGCTCTCTGCTTAAAAAAACTAAAATAAGAAGTTTTACTTATCTTTACTCCTCCCTGGATGAAATGGTCACTACTGATGATCTCAGCCAATCCAACAGTTCCTCATAGAAAAGCATTGGTGTGCTAGTGCGGATGAGTTATTACAGTCAGCATCTACTCATAGATATTCTTTGACTCTATGCATCTCTATGGTGTGCATTTGGTGTCTCCATGCACAGCGGAGGTGCCAAGCGTTGGTCCTGCGAAGATTTCATGGCCGCAAGCAGGAAGTCCCTGTAGTGGCTGTCTAAATGACAGCCACTAATGGTGGAATTAGGTATCTATGTAAACACTGCCTTTTCTTATAAAAAGTTTACACTACAGGCACATTCTCTTTGTCACCAAACTACTTAGTTATAGTGGTTGTGGTGCTTAGTGTCTCTTAAATAATTAACTGCAGAAATATAACTGCACTACTCTCACCCACTTAAAAAAAAAAAAAATGAAAAAATAGAAAACCAAACCTCAGGGGCAATATTTACATTCTCTAACAGAACACAGAAAAGCTAATTGCCTGAGTAAAAACAAAGAAAACATATTCTGTTTTAGCCTTTAGGAGTGTACGGAATTGAATGTTTCACATAGCATAACTTCTTTAAATTGTTGTTATACACAGATTTTTTTTTATTTTTAAATGAAACCCTTGGCAACACACAGATTTAGCTTAATGAAACAATTGTGTTGTATATATCTTACCCTTAGAGTCTCACTGTTCAATTCTTTGCTATTTAGGAGTTTTATAGCATTGTTTATTTATCACTAGACATGCCTCATTTGGCAGTGATTCACACAGCCTCCATGTAGTAATGGATTGATCTTCAATAGGAAAGTACTGCACTGTGTATTTACATTAGAAGTACTCAACTTGTGTGTTTCGTTTACTGAATTTTATGACACATAGGAAAACACTGTAGGCTCTAGCAGCCAATTAATAGAGCAAGAGACAAGAAAGTCTAAATTAAACACACTGTGCAAAAAGGGAAGCTAAAAAATGAAGGTTCATTTTCAGGAAGTGTGCAGGGAAACTGTTTTGGGCACAAGAAGAAGAGTCTGGCTAGGGCTGCAAAAACAAGGTGCTCTAGCTTCTAAATGCTAGATAAATGAGCAGTTAGACTGTAGGAACCTGATCTATACACCAAAACAAATTTTTTAAACTGTAAGTGTTTTGGTTCTTCGATTGTCTGGGGTGGCAAACCTTTGGCTTTAAGAGCATTATGGGAGATGTAGTCCAAACCATCTGGAGGGCTGAAGGTTCCCCACCCCTGCTTTACAGCATTAGAAAGTAACAGGCGGTACTAATGTCCTTCACAACTACGAGATATGCTTTAAAATCGCATTGATTATTGCTCCACTGTGCATATCTTGCACTTTTACCTAAGCAGGGTCAAGTGTATAGAAGGGGATGGGCCAAGAACAAGTGTGTGTATAACATTAGTGTAACACTCTTTGATCTCATGTAACTGTGACGCCATCAGCTCTGGACTCTTGAGTATTTTACTTAATAATTGAGATATCTAATATTTCATTTACCTGTTTCATAAATTATATGTTATTGCATAAAAGTTTTGGTTTATTTTGTCGTTAAAGTAAATCTTTCTTGACAAATTCATTTTAAATCAAGAGTTGATGGCTATATTTTGAATTAATTTATTTTTAGCAGAGGAAAAAAATCACACCTACAGAGTTCCGATTAGCCAAAATAGCCACACATCGTTTTGGTCAGGAATTCAAAGTGATTTTCAGGTTGAAGGCCAAAATAGATAATTTGTCAGCAGAATGTTTTTATGTAGGATCAGCTGTGGACAGAGCAGCACTTCACGGGATGCCAGTTAAGTTAACTCTTGAGGAGTAACTTTTTACTCTTGTGGGGAGACACTATAGCGATTTGTATTCCTAACTCTGTAGTGTTTCTTTAACAGAGCTGGAGATAAAGTCTAATTAAAGACAATGGCAATAAATGAAGAAAAACACTAGATCTCTTTTTGCAGGAAGTGTGTAGCGAGACTATGAAAGTGACAGACAGAGGAAGTGTATCCAAGACTGCATATATATTTTTTTTGTAAATTTATAAAAGTACCAATTTGTAATGAAATCTGCAGTGGTTTCCAAGTACCGCATAACAGTCCAGGATTTAGGAATTACCCAGTTGTGTCTAATGTGTTTTTAGAAAGAAAAATAATAAAACCTTTGACACAACAGGGTAATCCCTAAATCCTGTACTGGTACTTGAGGACTGGGTTGGGAACCCCTGGTCTGAAGTTTCGCTTAAAGAAGACTAAGCACAGATAGAGTACGTTCATACTTTTTTTTTTTTTTAAATCCAATAAGGTAACTTCGGATTTAATTTAATACACTTTCTAAATGATTCAATACGGAGGGAAAAAGTTGCCAAAAGCAGTCCTACCAACAGTCCTGCTTTTGTCTGGATAGTCCTAATTTCGGGATCCAGTCCCGCGTTACTTCCCTGGTGTCATGTATCTGGGGACATTAGGGAACTGGCCCAGGGCAGCACAGCGAAAGCGCATTATTATTTGTGCTCGCGCTGTGCAAGACATTCGAAATGTGCAGGGCGCGTTTGGTCACCTGTCCTTGCATGGTCCTGAAAAGTAGTGGCGGACCAGACAACCTGAGAGTAGCAGGCCCTCTCTTTTTTGGGGCCTTGCCTGTGAATGGGGTTGCGTCAATAGCAATGGACCCGCCAGCAGTCCCAATTCCATGTAAGGTTATCTACAAAAAAGTATTTATACTTTAGTGGCTACTTCTGTAGATAAATCATTTATAAAGGGTTTTCTACAATGTTTAATTATTTGTAAAGTGTATTAAATCAGAGCCTTAGTCAGGCATAGTGAAAACCAAGCATTGTAAAATTCTTCCTTATGAAATCAACAATAAAACATTTCCCATAAATATCACTTTTCAGGAAGATATTTAAATATAAAATGTGTTGTCAGTGCACTACTATGTGTTCAAATAAACCTTATTTATTTATGTTGATGCTATAAACCCAGATCTCTGGGCTGAAGTTTTGTATTCGTTTTTGTTTTTTAATACATAAGCTTATATTATCGGCAGAGTTAGACATGATAGAATCTTACAGGACTTAACATATCATACATTTGTATATTTTATTTTTGTAAGTAAATATATATGTGGTGTAACCCCAGCAAACGCACTACGAATTAAACTTTTTTCTAGATCAGCTATTTTAGCTTTCATTATGCCACTTTGAGTTTTATTGTTACAATTAAGTTTAGTAACGAACACTGTGAGTGATTTCAAAACATGTGGATGTTTCAGATGTATATTACTGCTCTCAATAAACGTTTCCTATTCCAAAGATCTCTAAATTGTCCTATTAGCTTTTACCTTTTTGTTCCTAAATGCATTTTAATGTTGGGGTATCCTTTGGCATCCAGTTGTGTACTGTTACAATAATGTAGACATAGTACTGGAAAAAAAACAAATGCATGATACAGAGGATGAATAAATCCATATATTGTCATTCATGGAATAGACACAGGCTTCCTATAACTCTGGCCCTCCAGATGTTGCTGAACTACCACTCCTATGATTCTATGAATGAAATAGGCTGATAATCATGGGAGTTGTAGTTCAGCAACATCTGGAGGGCTGGAGTTTGGGGAAGCCTGGAATAGAGGCTTGTGTCTAAGTAAACACAACTAAAATTACAATGGTATTGATAAACTCAATATTTAATACAACCTTCATGTAATCATAATTTGTAAAATCATCGTGCTCCTGGGATCACCTTTGAATGCCATCTTTACTACCACTATAGTCAAATGTACACTAGTATTCTATAATCTGAGTAATTATACACCCCCCCACCTCATGGATAGTGTTTTGTAAAGTGCATGATTAGGTCTCCATTTTGGCAGAATGTGAATCAAAATTAAGCGTTAGATGAGTTTGGGAAAGTACCCTACATGCCAATAGAATTATCCCTATTTTCACTTTACAACTGTATCAACAGGGTATGTCACTATTAGTCCAAGTGATTTCCAATGGGGTTTGGAAGGCAGATAATACAACAAAATTATCCCAATGGAATTGTTTGATGGCAATAAATGTTCTCTATATCCTAGCCAATTAAACAAGAATTATACATAAAATGTATAATCTTAATCTCCTTCATCCATTCTAGGACCATAAATGATGTCTCCATGTTCTAATATCTGTGTATCAATCATTTTTCAACATCAAGGAAATGCTTCCCCTCAGGAGAGAGTTTTTCTTTTTGGGAATTTGGAATTGAACCCGATGAAAATGCAAATACACTCCACCAGTCAGGCTGAATTAGTTGCTATTCCATCCAGATCTATGAAAATGTCTCCAAAATAGTCCCTAACCTCGTCACAAAACCCCCCTACAAAAAAGTAGACAAAAATGCAAGTGTAAATGAAAACCAATTCGTGTAGAGGAGCAGTAATTTAACATAGACTTTTCTCCGCTGGTATTCCAATAGTTACTCAGGATCAAGTAGGTTATCATAAGAAGAGCAGCATAAGCAGTAAATAAAGTAATCCACGAATCTCCCATCACCTTTCCCAATAACTGGACGACACTCAGTATCAGGAGCAGAACTGATTTTTAATGACACACACTCTGCTTTTATGCAATCCTCCCATGCAAGGGAGACATCCGCAGAAAATTAGGAATTATCCAATCATTAGCTGGTTACAGTACACAGGTTTCCTCCCCTTAGCCTGAGAGGTAACATAATTATCAGTACAGTTTAAACACACATTTTTCCCCAAAACTATAACTTACACCCATAAATTACATACCCCCGGATAGCCCCAATCCGGGTGAGCAACATACTGAAAAATCACCCAGATCGGTTCAGGGGTTCGTGAATTTCCTGGGGGTCTTCTTTTAACTGACCGCACATGAGGTGTAAGCCGAAGATAGTTCCATGTGTTTTGGCCTTGCGGTCGGTCTCTGTTCATGAGGTGAAAAGCATGAAAATGTTTAATACAATGGGGTTCGTATGATTCCCCTCGTTCGTGTGATTCCTTTCACCGAACGCTGTTCTGTTCGTATGTTTTCGCAAGAACGGGTGGAAGTATGGAGGTCTCTGTGGTGTTCGTGTGGTTGAGTGTCCGATTTGGGTTCCCGACACCCGACGACCAAACACCACTGGTGCGTTTGTATGGAAAGATGGCCGCCGCCACGTGTTCGTATGCCGAACGGCGGCAACCCAGGAAATACACAGTGCGTTCGTGTGATTGTCAATTAAGTAGTGTGAATAACTATAGGGGGGGTCAATTAGTGCCACGCTCCTCTCTGGGGTGGCCTGGTTATTTGGTATTTTGTTCGTTTGTCGAATGGTATAACTTCAGATGGTTCAAAGTAAATTCTCACCAAACAACCAGACGAATTATACAACAGATAGTTTGTTACTTGTTTCTTTTACAAGTGTAACGAACCGTGGCAAAGGGAATAAAATACTGCAATAATTAAGGGTAGGGACAGCCAAAAGTAAAAATGATGAGTAGCAAAACACAGTTTGTTACAATTTGGTTACAAGTTTTAGAGAATACAGCACTACAAATAATGCCCACACTTCCTAAATGCACACAGCAATATGTTGTTGTCCTCTGTCTACTGTATTACACTCTTCAGGTAAATTTATATTTTCTACAATAATATTATGGCAATATTGCCAGCACAAAGTACAGAATAAATGGACACCCCAACCACTATAGTCTTGGCAGCATTTCGTATTGAAACCTTTTTCAAATGGTTCGACACATGTTGTAGGATGCATGGACAAAGTTAATGGAGCACTATAGTTTTAGGAATACAAACATGTTCTACTAACAATTTAGATGATTGGCCCCCTTCAGATTGGATTGAAAAGTTGATTTTACTTACCTTTCCTCCCTTGCCACTCTGGTCTCACCTCCCATTGCCCTGCCTCCATTACTGAGATCATCAATATTAATTATCTCGGCCAATCTAATGCTTTCCACAGGAAATGAATCAATTAATCTCTATGGGGAATGTTCAGTGTCTCCATGCAGTGCGTGGATTTTCAGCTTATAGGTGCTGCACCTCTAGTGGCTGTGTGAGTGACAATGCCACTAGAGATGTTACTAGGCAGCAATGTAAACACTGCCTTTCTCTGAAAAGGCAGTGTTTACATTGAAAAGCCTGCAGGGGCAGGCAATAGACACCAGAACCACTATATTAAGCTATGATTATAGTGTCCCTTTAAACTAAACACCCTTCTACTTGCCAATGCTCCTTTATTCAGACATAGAGCATACCTTCCAGCTGTCCTTATTCAGGAGGGAGATTCCCTGTTTTGGGCCCAAATCCCTCTGTTAATTTGTATCCTAATGTCCATTTTTTTTCTAGGAGCTATGTATATTTTGTGTGTCTGAGTGTGAAACAGAGCTCCACAGCAATCATAGGCACTATAATGGGTCTTTAAAGCTACAATAAATGTGTTCAGAAATCAGTCTGTGAAAATAAGATACATTGTTTTGGTTCGAAGTTACAGTTTAGTTGCATACATTTTTATTAGCAAGTCAACTGGAATTTCTGGAATAGCCCACATCTGGTCACACCCTTACACTCTCACTCACCCCCGTCTAAAATTAAAGTGTCCCACTCCCTCCATATCCATTTGAAATGTTGGGAGATATGACAATACCCAATGTTTCAATGTGTATGGAAGCCTGTTTCATTTTGTTGGCAGCTTGCTAATTTGTCTCTTTTGAGCAGTTGCTCCACCAGGTTCTTGTATGCTCCTCTAGCCAGTCCCGACCAGTTATATGATTATCTGTCACCCAAATCACACCACCCTACTTGGGATGTCATAATTAGGAAGTTCACATCCTTATTAGCCCTGTAAAGCAGGGGTGTCCAAAAGGTAAATCCCCATATGTTTTAAGACTACAGCTTCAGTGATGCTCTGCCATTCTAAAGGCAAGCAACGCATAATGGGAGTTGTAGTTCTACAACATCTGGGGATTTACCTTTTGCGCACCCCAGCTATAAAGTATGTGGAATTTTAATTTCAGTCATGCCAACTTGACCCTTCTGTCAAATCGACCCAGTAGGACTATTTCATGGTCTTCACGATGTCCCAAGAAATAGCATTGGCTCTTTAGTGGCAGGGCTAGTACCCATGACTTTCTTGTACAATAACAACTGCAAGGATAAGGATATAAAACTGCAAAAACCGAATTTGAACAAAAGGGGGGAGGAGGGGTTAACCTTTCAATCTGGAGAACCACATTGGGAATGGTGGAGAGCTAAGCAATTAAGCTAGACCCTGCATATTGCAAGCTAGATTAGCAGAGCAGGCCAATAACTGAACTCCAATCATTATTTTCCCCATTTTGATTCGAATGTTTACATCCACTTATTAATCCTTTAACGCTCTATACTTCCAAACTGCTAGCGGTGACTGTTGTTAGTACTCCGGATCGCTTGGTGGCGCTGTCTGATCAACTCGTTTAATTCATCCAGCTTCTCACGCTACCTCGCTTTCCGGTCCTCGTCTCGTTCATTTGTCTGCATTTCGGGGTTTGTTTCACACCGTGAGCGGAACGGAGGACAACTGAAACAAGACCTGCAAGGTACACTGGGGGTTAATGGCGGCAGAGCGGTATCCACCGGCTCTTTGCAGCAACAGCAATATGTGTGAATATTGTGCAATGCTATAATCTGTGCTCTGCCATCACATGTTATTGTATTCCTTGTATTATATGATCTATTATGAAATTACCTTCTATTACACAGTGTTATATCATATTATTTATTATACACCGTCTATTACAGTGTTATATCATATTATTTATTATACACCGTCTATTACCCAGTGTTATATCATATTATTTATTATACACCGTCTATTACCCAGTGTTATATCATATTATTTATTATACACCGTCTATTACCCAGTGTTATATCATATTATTTATTATACACCGTCTATTACCCAGTGTTATACCATATTATTTATTATATACCGTCTATTACCCAGTGTTATATCATATTATTTATTATACACCGTCTATTACCCAGTGTTATATCATATTATTTATTATACACCGTCTATTTCCCAGTGTTATATCATATTATCTATTATACACCGTCTATTACAGTGTTTTACCATATTATTTATTATATACCGTCTATTACACAGTGTTATACCATATTATTTATTATACACCGTCTATTACCCAGTGTTATACCATATTATCTATTATACACCGTCTATTACAGTGTTATTCCATATTATTTATTATACACCGTCTATTACAGTGTTATTCCATATTATTTATTATACACCGTCTATTACAGTGTTCCATATTATTTATTATACACCGTCTATTACAGTGTTATACCATATTATCTATTATACACTGTCTATTACACAGTGTTATTCCATATTATTTTACACCGTCTATTACCCAGTGTTATACCATATTATCTATTATACACCGTCTATTACAGTGTTATACCATATTATTTATTATACACCGTCTATTACAGTGTTATACCATATTATTTATTATACACCGTCTATTACAGTGTTATTCCATATTATTTATTATACACTGTCTATTACAGTGTTATTCCATATTATTTATTATACACCGTCTATTACACAGTGTTATACCATATTTTTTATTATACACCGTCTATTACACAGTGTTATACCATATTTTTTATTATACACAGTCTATTACACAGTGTTATTCCATATTTATTATACACCGTCTATTACACAGTGTTATACCATATTATTTATTATATACCGTCTATTACACAGTGTTATACCATATTATTTATTATACACCGTCTATTACACAGTTTTATATCATATTTATCACTATTTTATATCATATTTATTATACACCGTCTATTACACAGTTTTATATCATATTTATTATACACCGTCTATTACAGTTTTATATCATATTTATTATATAGTGTCTATTAGTGTTATATCATATTATTTATTATATATTGTCTATTACAGTGTTATACCAGATATTATATACGAATGTTATACCGTATATTATTTATTATACACCGTCTATTACAGTGTTATACTATATATTATATAGCTTCTATTATACAGTGTTATATCATTATTTAATATACACCGTCCATTATACAGTTATACCATATATTATTTATTATACACCGTCCATTGTACAGTGTTATACCATATATTATATGCAGTCTATTATACAATGTTATACCATACATTATATGCAGTCTATTATACAATGTTATACCATATATTATTTATTATACACCGTCCATTATACAATGTTATACCATGTATTATATGCAGTCTATTATACAATGTTTATACCATTTATTATATGCAGTCTATTATGCTGTTTTTACATTATTATTACTATTCTTACAAAACATCTGTTAGTCTATGTTATAACTAATATTGTATACCATACATTAGCCTAATTGCCACCTTTTATCATATAGCAAAACGTCTTAATTATAGGGTTAAGACAGTGAAAGCATACATATACTGTATTACAATTATAAAGTAAAGCATAGGCATAATCTAAATTATTGTCAATAACTATTAGTACTCTGCACCTAGATACAGCTGGCTTGGTTTTGACTGTGTATTAGCACACAAACATAAATAATGCAACCAGCAAAAATGAATTGGATCATCAATAGATTTTTATTCACTTTTATTTTTCATATACACAAATTGCAAAATTGAGGCCACACTTCCAGTTCAGTTCCCAACAATACATGGCTTTAAGCTTGCAAAAAACAAAAAGTTTTACATGATGGTTATATAGTAAATCCAGTGACATCTCCACCAAGTAGTGTATTTTGGTTTTGTGCTGCCCTAGGCATGATTAAACTCAAGCACCCCTAATCTAAATTTGCCCCACTCCTTCATGTCAAGGCCGCACCTCTTCCTATTTAAGACCAAAACACACTTTGACTCCTGACAGACAACACATTCCCTCACTGATACATACAGTCATTGACACACACACTGTGTAACCAACACCTAGTAACACCTCTAGTGGCAGTCATTCAGCTGGCTACACTGTGCAGCACAGACGTTCAGCGTCTCCGTGAACAATCCTCATAGAGATGCATCAGCAGATGCTGATTGATGCGGTGCTTTGCCGTGCATGTGCAATAGCCCTCCAATACTTTTCGACGGAAAAGCAGTGGATTGGCTGAGATCGTCAGATTTGACAATCTCAGCCCAGGAGGCGGAACGGAGTCGGGGTCAGCCGCAACGAGACCTGTGCGACGCTGGAGAAAAGGTGAGTACAATTACCCTTTACTCCTCTAACAGGGGGTCTGGAGGGCTAGATATTGCTTTTAAAACTATAATGTAAGGAATACATGTTTGTATTCCTGACACTATAGAATTCCTGTAAGCACTAAAAATTTACCTTTTCGTTAGGTGCAGAACTGCTGTTCCCCAAGTGACTCTGGGAAGCAGTCTATATCACTGGTGTTTGGAGTTGCTGCCTGGTGTGTTAGTATATATGCTGACCTCCTAGGAAGTGATATGACAGTAAGTCTTCACCTCAGGTTTATTTTTAAAACCTACCTTAAAGGACCACTATAGTGCCAGGAAAACAAACTTGTTTTCCTGGTACTATAGTGCCCTGAGGGTGCCCCTCCTGCCGGGCTGAAGTTGGAGGAAGGGGTTTAAAAACGTGCCTTTCTCCAGCGCTGGGGACTCTCCTCCTCCTTTGGCCGTCATCGGCTGAATGTGCATGCGCGGCAAGAGCCGCGCGCGCATTCAGCCAGTCCATAGGAAAACATTCTCAATGCTTTCCTATGGACGCTGGCGACTTTTCACTGTGAAAATCACAGTGGGAAGCGACTCTAGCGGCTGTCAATGAGACAGCCACTAGAGGCTATGTTTACAGCAGGCAGGGTTAATCCTAGATGGATCTGGCACCCAGACCACTTCATTAAGCTGAAGTGGTCTGGGTGCCTATAGTGGTCCTTTAATAAATTTTAATAAAAAAACAACAAAAAAGATACATTTTAATATATATTTCTTTTAATTATTTTTTTTAGTCCTCCTCACCATATTTTGTAACACTTACTTCAGCTTTGAACTGGACCAGGAGAAGAAGATCCTTCTTATACAAGGCAGATTGCTGCTTTGTCGGGTTCCTGCCTGCCACTGCCCAGGAGATTCAGCTTGAAGTCACTCGACTCCTGCTCTTTCACATACCGCGTCTGCGCCCAGTGGAACTTGAAGCCCTCCACTGATCTAACACCACAAACTGGTACAGGGTGGGAGGGTGAGGGGCTGGGATAGATCAGCTTACGCTGTGGGGCGCTTCACCGCGTCCATGGCAACAAACAGTTGGAGCGATTTTTAAGAGACATCAGGGGCAGAGCGACATTAAATAACATGCGAGGGCATACAGCAGCGAGGTGTTATGTTGTGTAAACCAGCCCTGTATCTATCACTACTCAGACTAACAAGGCATTTTGCCACCTAAAGCAAATGCCTTGTGATAGATACAGCGCTGTCTCCACCCAGGCTTGACAAATTGGTCAGACACCCCCACACCTCCTTTTTTTTAATTTATTTATTTATTTTTTTATTTCTCACTGAAGTGATTTTAGGACATAGATGCTGCCTTGCTGTTGTAAACAGTGCCATTTCTGATAAACAGCACTGTTTACATTTTGCAATTAGCACACCTTCTAGTGATTGGACAGCCAACTATTTTGTGTTTTAAACTGATTCTTTGTGAGAATATTTCTCATAGAACTGGCAGTTTGCAGTGATGTCTGCACATGCACCATGTGTCCTTAATACTTCTATATGAAAAGCTTCTGAATGGGTAAAAGTCATCAGTTTTTAGGACCTAACCAGGGCACTGCTGGCACCATAACCACTACAGTGTGCTATAGTCATTATTGTGCTTGGAGTGTTCATTTAATGTATACTTCACTATTTTTTATAACTTGTATTTTAGAAAAGGAATAGTACTGGAACTGGTTGTTACCCAATGAGATAAAAAAAACCTTTTTACTATATTACAATAGAATTACAGTATTTTGAAATGAACACACAAAACACAAATTGCATAAAAAGTAACAAACGTATTGCAATTAAGAATTGTAAGAATGTGAAGTATATAAAGTACCCTTATGTAACTTTTATAACTGATAGTAATGTAACAAGAAAGGTATGATTGAGTATCTCCTTTGGAAGATTAAAGGGACACTCCAGGCACCAAAACAACTTTGTCTAAATTAAGTTGTTTTGGTGCCAGGAGGCACTCTTATTTCAAGGGGTTAAACTGTTTTCAAACGGTTTAACCCCAAAGTTTCCCCAGCACGGCTTCCGAATGTTTCAGATTAAGGAAGTGCGGAGTGCTACCAGGCAGAGGCGTTGCTGATTGGTTGAGAGCGGTCAGCTGACACTCTCGTTCAGTCAGTGTCTCCCCATTCACAAAACTGGCTTGCAAAGAAACATAACGTTTGCAAGCCAGTTTAGTAAATAGGGAGTCCTGATTGGCTAAGAGCGTCATCAGATTGCTCTCAACCAACCAGCGGCACCCCAGCCTGGCGGCGCTCCGCAATTTCTGAATCTCAAAGTTCAGAAGCCAGGAGCGGCCAGGGCAGGATTGGAGACCAGTGCTGGAGGCAACTTAGTGTTTAAACCGTGTTTTGAGTGTTCCTTTAACTGTGAATCACCACTCAAGACAAAGGTTGATTGCTGTAATAATAGGGGGAAAATTCCCTAATACTCAACTAAAACATTATACAAATGTATACCTAAAATTAACCTAATGAGAGAAAAGAAGGGTGTATTTGCTGCCCAAAGAGCATAAAGGATCTATTTACCGAGCCAATACTGCATAGGCTCCTGTCCATGTGAGTGGTTTCAGTCATTTATTACCGTCAATTGTCTATTTTTGGGAACAGTCTGAACTATATTTCTTGTTTTTCCTGTTTCATTTTATATGTACACCTAAGCATTAATATTTAAGATTGTCATTGTACTAAAAGGGTGAGTGAATCCCTCCACTGCTTATAGCGCTCCACTTGTTTGGTATAATATTGATACCTCATTTTCTGTATAGAGAAAAGCACCACATAAAAACTTTGCCTTTAATGGAACACTATAGGGAACACAACTGTGTATTCCTGACCCTATAGTGCAAAACCCACCATTTAGGTGGCCTGCACTCCCTTTAGCCCCCTGTAAAAGGAATTAAAACTCTCCTTATTTCCAGCGCCGCGCGGGTCCGCTGGTGCTGGTCCCGCCCTCTTGGTGACATAATCAGAATTGCCGATTTGGGAAAGCATTGGATCGGCTAAAATCGGCGCGGGGCCAAATGCAGTTTTGGCCAATCAGGACCTCCTCATAGAGATGCATTGAATCAGTGCATATCTATGAGGAAAATTCAGCGTCCCCCATGCAGAGCGTGGAGACGCTGAATGGCAATGCTGCCTACTGTGCAGCACTGAGCCAGGAAGCACCTCCAGTGTGGCCACTTGCAGGTGTCCCTAGGGGCAATGTAAACACTGCCTTTTCTCTGATGTAGCTTACATTAACTGAAAAAAAATAAATGTGCTACAGTATGTAACTTAATACAAAATCTATAGCTCATCACAAAAAGACGCCATGCCTAAACTGGTCACCAAATACATCTCATTGCTCTGTAAAAAGATCGTGTCTGCATATCGTAATGGCCAAAAAGGAGACAGAGCAGAGCGTCGACTTGCGTTTTGCTGGTCATGTGGCTCTTCTAGGGCATTTTTTTTTTTTTTTAATAACTTCACATTATTCTTTAGGATTAGAGATATGATAGTGTTTAGATCTAGGTTCCATTAATCATCTAGACAACTGGTACCTGCTTAACTGAAATTGATGGGCGTTACACTTCAGGCAGCAGTTTCCATTGATTCGGCTCTTTCTTCTGCTAATAGCCAGAGCAGCTAGGGAGATTATGCTGTTTTAATTCCTCCAGCTCCACTTTTGCAGTAGCATACAGAACTTATTTAAAATGGCAGGAACTGCAAATATAACAGCTGCAGGTTAATAGTGTAACTTCCAATAATCTTGGACAGGGGCCTATATGTATCACTTTTGCAATGAGAAAGGTGTCCCACTGCTTTATGAATCATCAACTTTATTTATTTTTTTCTCAGGTTAATATGTCGTCTTGGGTAAAGGTAACCAGGGGCCAGCCGCAGAAACCTGCCGGTGGAAAAAGGTAATCTTAAATTCTAACAGGTAGAATTTGTTTTGTAACTTCATTTCATCCCTGCTCGATTATGCTATTAGAACAGTGCTAAGCCAAACCAAGTTGCCATAGCAACACAAAGATTCAATCAGGCACCCACAACTTTGTCTCTCTATGTTGGTAAGGATTAATAGATCTCACTTGACCTTCTCAGCTGACACACATACACCAGGGAATTTAAAAAGGGAAACTATAAAAACAAACTAAAAACTACTTCCAAAAATATTCAGCTTTGATATTAATGAGTTTTTTGGGTTCATTGAGAACATGGTTGTTGTTCAATAATAAAATTAATCCTCAAAAATACAACTTGCCTAATAATTCTGCACTCCCTGTAGTAGGTCTCTGAAGTATTAAAATTGAAGGCACAGTCGCAGTTTAGAAATTGCACTTCAAATTTGAGCTTTGCAGAGTGAAGTTTCAATGAAAGTCAATGGACGGCGTTAGTTGCAAACAATTGATTATATTGTGAAAACTATCAGGACTATGGCTTAGCCGTTGACATGTTAAGTGGCAGCAGGGATAGCTGAACGTTTTGATATAAGATTTGTGTAGGTGGGCCTGAAAATAAGGGAGTGGTGGCAGTTTAGAAATCATATCCTGATTTTTCAGCTTTTGCCAGCTCCCACTCTAGCTTTCCCATTCATTCCTATGGGACAAATTGCGCCACAAGAACGACGATATTCCGTGAACCATTCGGCGAAACGTTCCACAAAGTAATAGCAATCCGATCGGGAACAATCTGCACGTTTTGGTAAATTTTGGTCTATGTAGTGTAAAAACTGTGGGAGGAGTTAGGGTGGCAAATTTGGCTAGAATAAGAATAAGAATAAGAATAATAATATAAATGTGAGATAACAATAAGTGTTCTTGCAAGAACACTTAATAATAATATATATGAGATAACATTAAGTGGTCTTGCTATGCAAGAACACTTAATAATATATATGTGAGATAACAATAAGTGTTCTTGCAAGAACACTTAAATATACAAACCAAAAGAAAGCAAGATAAACATTGAAAATATGTAATAAACCTTTAAAAACTTGGTCAGATGGCATTGTTAGACACAGCTTTTTTTTTTCCAGTCATGGACAATAGCCTCACAATGTTTTCCTATGGGAAAGCATTGGATTGGCTGACCCTGCCGTGACGGACCCGCACAGTGCTGGAAAAAGGGTGAGTTTTTAACTCCTTTAATGGGAGGTAAGGGGGGCCCCAATACCTAAACTGTGATTTTGCCACTATAGCATCAGGAATACACTTTTGATTCCTGACACCATAGTGCAGTTTCAAAAGGTAGTAGGGATGTAAGTGCAGCAACTCTTTGTATAAACACTAGAGCATCGGTAGGCAAGCTTTTAGTAGTATTGTACCAAAACATGATCTTGAAATCCCTTGGTGCACAGGTTCTATTTTTTTCAATTGTGGTGTATATGTTGCTGTATTGTGCTTATGTTTATGGGTGATGCAGTTACTTTGTAATGTTGTATTTGTGCGTATGTTGGCTGTTATAGTGTATATGTTCATGAGTACTTTGAGGTATTGTGTATGATACCTATGAATGTTGGCTGTGCATGGGGGTTTCTTGTGGAATTGTGTATTTGGATGATGTATCATATTGTGTGTTAATGTGTGGGATATTGTATGCGAGAGGCTATTTCTGGGGTTGTGTGTATGTGGATTGTCAGGGGTGTTGTGTTTGGGTGGGATTATGCTTTTGTGTGTGGGCTGTTTGTATTATTTGTATGAAGGGGAGTCTTATTGTCTAGCACTCTGCATACCTTGCAGTGTGAGTGGCTTCCTTGGGTTCCAGAGATGACTTGGCTGCCCAGTTACAGGTCAAGGGCAGAAGCTGCAATAGCTGCTGCAGGATGCTCTACTCTAGTGCAGATTCCAATTCACAAGTGCTGGGATTAAGTTTTCTGAGATCACTACCTCTAAGTGCTGCAATGTGTAAATTGAGGATTGTCCCTCACCACTTGAATTACCGTTCAGTTTGCACTAGCAGATATGATGGCCAACTGGGACTCCTGATGGTCAAAACCTGTTTGCCTCTAGTAGTCTTGAGTGCCGTAGAAGGCACATGTGCCATAGGTTGCTGACCCCTGCACTAGATTATCCTATAAATTCATCCATGTTTGTTTTTATGCATAATTTCTGTGGGAACATGCATGCTGAACAGTTCCTTTCATCTCTAACATATTCTAACATTTTTGTTCTTTTAGGAACAAACCGAGCGGGATACCACGCCTTTTGGAGTAAGTTAAATTACGTTTTTTCCCCCCACTTTTTTTTTTTTTTTTTAAACCTTTTCTTGGTAACCTGTACAATAAGTCTTGTATAGTCACTGCTTATTACAATATTACGTTAATACATGTCGTAACAAAGTTATGAGCTAGATGACCATATATTACAAAGGTATGTTATTTTTAGTTTTCTGTGATACAACTATACAGCGCTTTATATAATGGTAAAACAAGTTGGGCAACACTATTAATGTATTCATAAGTATGTCAAGCCCTTTTATAAAGCGTGTTAAAGGGACACTGTATTGTTCTAGTGAGTATAGTATGTCCCTGCAGGATGTTTGTTGTAAACCTTGTCGGGACCTAAATTTTTTTTTTTTTTAAACATTCTTTATTTCAATTTTCACAAATATTACATATATTGCGTGTAGATGGTGGAAATGCACCGTTAAAACAGTTACGTACAGAAAATAGAAGGGGGGGAAACAGTGGTGATACAGAACAGATATCGTTATCAGTCATATAACACTAAAATGGGTTTTTAACATTATGGGGTCAGGAATACACGTTTTGTATTCCTAACCCTGTAATATTCCTTTAATGTCGTACGATATTATAGTTTGATGCTATCTAGATTGTAAATGATAATCATGTCCTCTTTTGGCTGTAGAGTAATATCCCATATCTGTCAACCTCAATAGCTTACTGGAAAACTCTCTACAGTATTTTTTATATTCCAGTTGAATTCACCTTTTTTTTTTGGCATTGAATTGTGTCCATGGAAGCTCATTACTATTAATTGTCATTTTTGCACGTGTTACTGAAGGTCATTTTTAACGATGGTTCATTCACTGCTAATATTTTTTACGTTAGATTAACCTTGTATTTTTGTATTCCTCATTGTCTCATAAAACCTGTATTGTTAAAGAAAGCTGACCCAGAACATTATTGTTTTGTAGCATTAATCCATACAAACCCAACCAGAAGTCAACATTCTCTGACAAATATCCAAGAGACGTGGAAGAACAGAATAGGTAAGAATTGTGCAGCTTGGGACCTTTTGTTGACTAACCATATAACAAACTATATTGCATCATACGTATGCTGGGTGTTTTTGTGCTCAAATTATATAATAATGCAACAGTCTCTATGGAAGTCATTGCAATCGTTCTGCTTAGAGCTCCACAATGCTCTAGAATTTTATGCACCAGGTTATTGTGTCCCCAATGCCCTTTGCTGCTTAAAGGCAAGAGATACATTGTTGTTGGTATGACTTAATCTATAAACTGGATTTGTTACCATGACTGTTTTTTTTTAGACTAGCCCTACACTAACAGGCTGCCAGTAGATATCTAATTCAAATTAATTAATTAGATGTGGGTATTAAAAGGACACTGTAGGAACCATAACCACTTGGACAGAACAAAGTGGTTATGGTGCCTGGAGTCTCTGCAAACAAGAAAAACTTGCCTCAGTTAATGAATACCGCTCCTATACGACTCCTTGTTAATTCAACATTCTTCAGTTCAGTTACGGTGCCCTCAACTCCAGTTAGCCGGGTGAGTGGTCCGCTCACTATTTATTCTAGGTAAGATAACAGAAAAAAGTTTTGCCTCCCGCGGGAAGAATTTACCCACTTTAGAATCTTAAAATCTATATCCTTTATTTAACAAAATATAAAATTTTGTAATATAACAAGCTACAGTGCAAAATGATAGAATTTTCTTGCTACCAGCGGGATCTACTTGTTTTGTGCAATGTGTGCACTTTCTCTAGACTACAATGCTACAAATCTTCCTGTCTGGATATAGCCTCATCTATTTTAAACACAATTGCACTAAGGAAACTCCTAAATTCAGCTTAATGCTTAGCTGAAAAAAACTCCCCTATATCATAACATCAAAAACACAACACGTTTAGATTGGTTACTGGCCATGATGCATACTTTTAACACAATGCAGTATGCAAAATCATAGTGATAGTATTAGTCTGGAGTCTGTGTGTGTAGATCCCACATCGCTGCTAAATGGTTTCCTGTCTGTTTAGTTGTCTGGTCTCACATGATGCAATAGTGGAGGTGGAGCTCTCTCTGCTTAACCTTTTTACCAGCGTTGCGGACAGTGATTGGATCTGAACGCTCTCAGCAAGTCAGAGCATAGCTCTGCCATATTGTCACTGTCTGTTGTCCGTGCATCTCTGTTAAGTGGTTTACTCACTGGGATCCGACACCCACAGACTTCAAGCACCAGAACTACTTCAATATATAGTAGTGGTTGTGGTACCTTTTTAATAATATACCTTTAAGTAACCTCAGTTGTTCATGGCACAATAGATGTAATCTTTGTGATAATGTGGCATTTTTAACCCCACAGCTTTGAAGAACTCTTTGGACAACAATACCATTATCCTGCTGGCTCAGAGGAGTACTGTGAGAGATATCAATATTCCCAGAAGGGTAAGCATGAAAACTTTTATTTTATGAAATATTATAATGTAATTATCATAACATATTAGAAGGCTGAAAAAAGGAGTCATTGAAGTAAAGAAATATATATGAAAAATACTGCAATTTGTATTATCAGAAGTGCTTGTTTTACTTAAAAACCCTTCAAAAAAGATATGTAAGACAGTATGGATAAAATAGTCAAGGCTACTTTTTTGATTTTGGATGCCTTTATGCTACAGCTCAGTACTATTAATGGATGGTACTGCCATTGTAAAGACATACGTGTTTTATATTGTTCAAGAGATTAAACATCACCATTATGATCATATTCTTAGTGATAACTCTGCCTTACATGACAGCTAGATTCTAAATGTCTCATTTCATTATACTGGCTGTTATTCTATGTAGACACCAAATACAGTGCAGATGACCGCCGAGAAAAGCTGTACCTGCAATTTTACCAGCAGATCCAAAATGAATACCACAAAGAACGACCTTCTGACTGTGTGATTGTGGCCATCAGCAAGGAACAGATGTAAGCTTATGAATAAGTAGTGAAAATATATAGAATGTATAATTACCTAATGAGTTAAATTGACAAAATCAGGGGAATTAAATTCTTACTCCAGTTTGTCTATATCTTCCAGGAATGGGTAGAAATATAATTGAAGATCCATTTAATTTTTTTTCTTAAATTGGCTTTATATACGAAGTCCTAAGTTTAACCTGAAAATCTTGTATTGTCTAAGACAATTAACCTAATTCTTATGTGATAAAATTGTTAAAGGTATGTTCAGTTTTTAATTGTTACTTAAAATCTATGTCTCTTTATAATATGATGAAGTGGTCTAGAACGCAATATACATTCTCACACTCTGTGTGTAGGGCAGGTTAGAACGTACTCTGTAAATCCACCAAATACAAAAAAAAAAAGTATAATCCTTGTTGGCTAGTGTTCAAAGTAACTACCAAACAAAGGAAGGAAATTCACTGTTTCAGAGTTTTGTCCTGCTGTCTCAAGTTGGTTCCCAGATGTTCTGCATTCAAGGACCTTAGAGAACTGTCCCCAGCTAGGACAGCTTGCGTGCTTCATTGGCTGTGCATGTTCTGTGAAGAGGGCACTAGGACCTTGCAGAGAGTGCTACAGCCGTGCTTTGTGCATGGTGTGGTGTTCTGTGTGGGGGCCGGCCTAGAGGCCCACCCACTCTGTCCCTATCAGCATATTTTCCAATGTTGGGATGTATGCCAATAAATCTTTCAGTGCCAGAGGTGGGAATAGTGAGTTGCAAAGGGTGTAACATGGGCTGTACACCTTTCTAATATGCAACAATTCGAAGGCCTAATGACTTACTGTCAAAGAGGACTTTGAGATCTTCTTTCTATGAGAGTTATTAAACTAACAACTGAATTGTGCTTCAGTTAACTTTATGCTCAAAGAATATGACTGTTTGTGACAAAGTTACAATGGAGACTGTTACTTTTTCTAATGCAAATGTTGCCACCACTCTGACACCTAAGTATTTGTATAGTTACTGCATAAGATGAACGCCAACATCTGTCTTACACTGTACATATGGCCTATAAAATACAGTTAACACTTCATTGCTGCATTTCAGCCATCCAAAATTAAACCCTTTAAACGAGCACTGGAAATGAAAAGCCTATCTGCACTACTCTAGTCTGCTCTCAGTAGCTGTCATATCATATTTATAGCTATCCTCCAAGTCTCATCAAACCCATTTTTATAATCCAAGAACTGAATTATTGACTGAGAAATGAAAAGGGGTCATATTCAATTAAACAGAATATTTCAAATAAGTGTCTGAAAGAACTATCTAGAAATAACTGCATAGTTAATGACATGGGGCATAAGCTTTATCAACAGGCCTGCTCTATTTGTCCCTCCTGACACAGATTTATCTCTGCCTGATTAAATGTTACATTACATGCAATAACATTTATTCATTTTGCTACATCCTCACAACAGTTCCTACTTGTTTACCTTTCACACCTATTAAAGACTTGTTACCATCTTTAATATGACTCGTTGAATGTGCATATGTTCCTTCGGAATTCATTGTCTAAAACAATACATTTAAGTATATATGTCTATATTTATTAAAGCGTAACCCCTCGCACAGGTTTATGGGATGTGTAGTTAAGCACCTGACAAATTCCTGGTGCCTAGCAAAATACTCACTCTGGTTCCTATCAGCTTGGGGACTTTTTGTTAAATGAGCTGTCAGATGGATTATTCCATCTCATGTGTAAGAGCTTGTTTCAGACTCCTTCCTAGTATTCTGTATGAGTCTGTCAGCGGACATCCTTGTTTTGTAATAGTGCATGTAGATTCCCTTTTACATTTCATGTTTGACAAGGGAAAAAGAATACGTGCATGGACAATATGCTCTTTTTAAATACAAAAATTACAGGAAAGCAAACTTATTTATTTGTTCTGGTCATTTAAAAAAAATAAATTAAAAAAAAAAAAAAATGATCCCCTGCTTCCATACAAAGAGTATGCTGCCATGTGCTACCATGTTTGACATTTGAAAACTGTTAAAGCTTTGAGTAGCATAAAATGGAATAAAATCTGCAAATTCAGAAACCGTATAAGTTCCAGGAAATTGTTAGAAACTGGAAAATACTATTAATAATAATAATAATAAAAAAAAAAAAGATTGAAAAAGCTATTTTAGAAGTGAAATGTTAGAGCCCTTAAGTTTGTGTTTTAGCACTTGGATTCCCAGATAGGGTCCAACCCTGTTTCATATTGGAACTCAACTTAACCTAGTCAATTAGATATATACAGGTACATTGGTAAGTATTTCTACGGGTTGCATAGGCCAAAGCTTCATAAATCGGAACGTTATATAGGCGGAGCACCTACCATTTAGACGGGCATTACTAGGAAATAGTATTTCCTTATTGTTTAGACAGCAAGTTGAGTAACTTACACCTTATTACTTGTAACACTTGGCACTTTTGTTTGTTAGCAACCTTCTTCAGAAGTATTTTAAGCTCATTTCCCAACCATTTTGTTTTGTCATGGGTACTAAACGGAATTCAGTACCAGCTGTGAGTAGTCGATCCAATAGGTAACCTAATATGCAACAGCACTTATCTAGTGAATTTTTTTAATGTATTTGAGTCTATTAGTTTTTAAGAGTAAACCTTTGAATTTTAATTGATAATTGTCATTAAACCTACTTTCTTAAATGTCTTCTGCCATAGCATGAAACAGTGGGTGATTTTGTGGGCAAGCTTGTGTTTAGCTGAATTGGCATATAGGTCAAAGTATATTGTTAGAATATGAAACATATTGGTGCCCTGGATTCACTGACATGGACCCTGTTACCTTTTATATGCCTGTCAGAAAGTCTGAGTTTCTTAGTTGTGGGTTCCCACTCGTATGAATCTTTAGAGGTGCAAATGAATGAAATCTGTATGACCTCTTTTCATTTATAGGTCAAATTCTCCCCTAAGTTTACTCTTTCTTCAATTCAGGTGAGTATCAAAATGGCTGTGCCCCTGTTTTTTCTCACACATTACTGATGCGTCACACATACACACACACACGGCATCCAACTTATTAAACCCTGATCTGTAAAACGTGCACATAACTTTTCTGTACACTATTCTTATTTTAGTCACTGAAAATAATACAAATAACTTACCCGATAAATTAATTCACTTTATTTTTTTCAAAAAAGGTGAATTTTTAAGCATCTCTTGGAATTTCTGCACTTCTTTTTATAGTTCTTTCTTTTTTTTTCTTGCCTCACTAGTTTAAAAAAAAAATAAAAAATAGAAATAGACTTTCCACAGGGTGTACATTTTGCTCAATAACAAGAGCTATTCACCCATCATTCAAAGAAGGAGACCTTATCTAAAATAAATAGTGAGGTATAGGTCACTGATCAGCTGAGAAATTGTCAGAGGTGGAGAGCAAATTTGGAAGTGCAAGATATGTATTTTAAGAAATTGCAAGAGGCTTAAAAATCGTGTTATATGATCAAAGACTGAATGGAACGTGAATATTCATTAGCATACTCTTTCACTGCAAACATGTCTTCACTTTACTGTATACCCAATCGTAAATCTTTCTAAAAATGAAACTTCGTGTGTACACAAAGGCATATTCCAGACTTATTTCCCTGTAAATTTAATCCAAAGGTCTAGTTTGTGTATTTTTATTTTTTTAAATTGCCATCAAATTGATTGTCTGATACATTTACCACTGTTGATATAAAAGCATATAATACTCAATCAATTAAAAAGGACACCTTTTACTACACGCACCTAAAAGTGAACCTAAAAATTAAATACAGAGTTCCAATAATGTGCACAAATCTAGCAGATAAAAAAAATACAGATTATAGGTATACCTTATAATCTTTTGCTTTTATAATCTAATTGCACATCTATTTTATTATTAACCTCTTTGATATATTGTACATTCTTTTCCTTCACACCAGCAACCCCACCTAGACATTGCTAGTCTGTCTTCCTCTTTACCTTGGCAGCATGGACTCAGTACATCAAGCTTACCATCTCTCTTTTGCCAATAACAATCGTTTTCTTCTTTTAAAGGGAGTACGCCACTTCCATAGGCCATCGATTACAGGATCATGGCCTTGTGGTGGAGATGATTTACTTGACTTCAGAATCTGGTCTCACACGCGCTCTACAAGAGGTTAAAAATGACGGTTCCCCGTTTTGCATTCTAGTTGAGCAGTCAAATGTAGCTCTATCCTCTTGCACCGCTATCATTCTTCATGATTCTATCAAAAGTAAGTGTAGCCAAACACAGATTTTCATCCTCAAATTCATTGTAGGAACACAGTCGTACCTTACACAAGGGATTGCCAAAAAGTAGATCCCCGGCTGTTTCAGATGATCAAACAGCTTGGTATGTAAGACTTTTGGCCACACTTATCTTATACGGTCAACAACGTTTTCCTAGATTGCAATGCCGACAGTAAAGATTATTACTGTATTCTTTGATCACTTGTGCATTAGTACATCTGGAAATCACATTTTGCTGATCTGGAAAAAATAAAACACAAAACACAAAATACACCATCTACAAAGAGCACATCCTTCCAACTGAGGCAGCTGCATGAACTGCTAACTAACATTAAACACATACCCATAAAATATATATTAAATTTAAAAGTAAGCATTTTTTTTGCCTGTTTAAAGGAAAGCACCACCATTAAACCCAAAAATCTCACTACATTGTTTTATTTATTTAAAACCTGTTTTTTTCAAGCCCCTTTCACATGCTTATAATGTACCCAGATAAAACGTTTCATGCTGGTCACTTGCTGCCCAGATTGCAATTTCCTTTACTCTTCCCCATAATTTCAGAAGTGTTTAAATAAAACCATTTGCAACTGGAAAGGTAAACAGAATTTGCACTATAGTACCTTGTATGGCAGACTCTTAATAGGCAATAAAGCAAACCACACACCACTGAAAATTGAAAGATGTTTAAATTTTAGCTACCCCAGTTTTTCATTGAATTGTATAATGCAGATGTTTAAAACTACATGAATTTCATGCAAAACAGCAACTGCTGATTTGTTTTCTCTTTGCTGTGCTGCAGATTTTTAATGGAAAATGCCCCCCTTATTATTTTGACACAGCATTGTCTGATGATTGCAATGTGTTGGGTAGAAAGTATTTACATGTTTTAGTGCAAAATGTGTGTGAATTCTTCTCATTTGTTAAAGACGCTATAGTCACCAGAACAACTACAGCTTAATGTAGTTGTTCTGGTGAGTAAAGTCAGTCCCTACTGGCTTTTTAATGTAAACAGTGTTTTACATTACAGCCTGTGGCCACTGGAGGTGCTTCCTGTGCAAGTCACTGACGTTCGGTGTGACGCTGAGCTTTCCTCATAGAGATGCACGGATTCAATGCATCTCTATGAAAAGATGCTGACTGGCCAGGGCGGCGTTTGGCTCCACCCATGGGTCCGCTTCCCATGGGAAAGCATTGTGATTGGCTGAGATCAGTTCTGATGATGTCATCCAAGGAGGCGGATTAGGGGCGGGGCCAGCGACAGTAGATTTGTTCGTCGCTGGAATGAAGGTGAGTTGTTAACATTTTTAAGAGTAATAAAGAAGGGGCCGCCACCTAGTTAGTTTAACATTATAGGGTCAGGAATACACATTTGTATTCCTGGCCCCTAAGTGTTCCTTTAAGTGACACAAGTTAAAAGTTGCATGATATGTCAGTAAATGTTGCAGTCTTAGGGCTTACTCACTAATTCCGAAATTTAAAGCAGCTCTGTCACCCCCCTCCCTCACTGCCAAATAAGCATTTCATAACTATAAATTCTGTAGTCAGTGAAATTCCAACCCTGTGAAAAGATATGACTATGTAGGCACAAAGCTTCTTAAAAAGGTGTAGCTAGCGCTGTCTGCCCGCAGCAGTCACTAGTGACTCATCGAGGGGAAAAAGACTATCTATGGAGGATCCCACAGTCTTGGGAATTCTCCATAGACATCAGTGTTACACTCTCATGCATGTGCGAGAGTACAGCACTGTCATTTCCGGGCAGATGAAGCTACAGAAGCTGAAGTGGACCTTGCAGAAAAAGATGATGGCATCTGCAAGGGACAGATTAAGATAAGAAAATAACTACCTTCCCCTACTCACAATGCCCACCGGAATACAAGCCGAGCAGTTACTTCTGGGGACTTTGCATAATATGAAAAGACCCAAGAAGGTGACAATCTCTTTAAGGATCCTTATTTGAGACTAAGTAAGTCTGATTAAACTTGTAATTTCTCTGATTATAAGTAAACTGGCCAATCATTAAACAGATTTGAGTTTACATGACTCCTGTTTGGTTCTCAGGAATCTGAGGATACCTAGTCAGCTTGAGGTACTTAGCCCTTAAGCAGAAGCTAAGGATTTTTTACTAGATGCAGAAGGTGATAATTCTCAAGTACAATTTGAAAATGTACAAATATTAAGACAATTTTGGTTTTAGCAAACTATATAACTTTTTGCAAGTATCTCACAGAAGCCTTGCTTCTAAAATGGTTGAAGTAATGTCTGCTACATTTTACAATGGATATGGAAATTTCCTTTTGTTATAAAAGGAGGTAATTCCTCTCCTAAATGTTAAAGATGGATTTGATCCTGGGAATCTGTGTTTAGACTAAATCATATAACATTTAAAAATAATCTGGAATCCTAAAATTACTGAGATTATTTTAATTTTATTTGATTTGGCCTAAAAATGAAGAATACTACCTTAAAAAATAAAAAATACATTGGTATGAATGCTATTTTGTTCCTTGGTAAAGACTTAAGAGTAAAATTGTTTCCCAAATGCAATCTCCAGAGTTTATTGAAGGATAGGTTTTTTCTATTTAAGATCTGCAGCACCACCTTGGTCTATTAACACATTGTAAACAACGTTCACTTGTTACATCCACAGTCTGTTCAGTCTAAACCCTTCATTTTTCTAAATGGTTTTAATAATGAACTCCTAACTGACACAAAAGTTATGTCTCTCCTCTGTAGTACACCGTAATATGCCCATGGATGATGCCCTGACTCTGATAGTTAAGGCATTCGGGAAAATTTTTGGTGAGCGTGAACAGCAGGAACGTAATGAGATATCACACAAAGCAGCTGATCTGGCGGATGACTACCTGGAGAGAGAGATATATGAATCTTACTCTGTCCCTCTGGACATTAGACACCTTCTCTTCCTCTTAGGCGAAGGCAAATATTTATATTCCGAGGAGCTGAATGCAATCAGCGTCTACTTGAAGACCAGGATAACTGAGTTGGAAGGTATACTTAATGTTTGCCATCACTACCCCTCTACACACATGTCCCAACCCCTTCTCGCCTTTTTACAAACAATATCTTAACAAACTTTTCACAAAAACTCTGCACTTCACCACGCTTTACACTCCGTCTATAACCAGTGTTTCCTAAGAGATATATATCCACATTTTTGCATGTACAGTTAAATATTTTTATTTTCCATGCTCTTCTCCCCCTCCTGCTTACCCTGCAGAGAAATTGAGGGAATATCGAGAATAACACCATTCAGAGCAGTTTTGTTTTTAGCTAAAGTTTCTGGTGGCTAATTACTAATTTATTGGCTACCTTTCCAAAACTGATCATCCACTATGACAATTTTTCATTGTTAGGAAATATTTATTTCTTTTTTCTTTTTTATTAAACACCTTTGTTTCAAAAATTACAGGAACACTATATTGTTAGGAATACACAAACATATTCCTAATGATATAGTGTTCTATACCCAGTTTAGATTTAGGGCCCCCCTAAATTTAATTGGAAAAATATATATATTTCTTGCTTTACTTACCCTTTTTCCAGCGTCGAGACTCTTCGTGCAGCCACCCACTCCGCCTCCCGTGACGTCATTCTGGGGGCTGTTTACTCTTCGTCTTCACGTCCAATCCAGTGCTACTCATAGAGTAGCATTGGGGATGAGAAGTGCATGTGTGGCAAGCTCCCACTCGTCGAAAAAAAAAAAAGATTCTCATAGGCACTCAGACTACTTTATTGAGGTGACATTGTCTGGGTTACTGTTGTGGTCTTTTAAGGTGGTAGGATATAGTTAAGCAGGGTATACCTGAAACGATCTTCCTAGCGTCACCAAAAAAAACCTATGAGGAATGTTTTTTTCTTTTGTTTAGAGAAGGACAACAGACTATACTTTCAAGCATTTCTTAAATAATACAATTTATAAACAACATATGGCTTTATTTTATTTTCAAAAATGTGTCCTGTTTTGAAGTTATTGTTGTGTAAATAAAGAATGGACATTTATGGGCTTTAGCTCTTGGTTAAATATCATAATGCAATTTGACCACCCTGAAGTGTAACTTGAGTGATGGCTGAGGCCAGCCAACAGTCAAATTACACCTACTGAGTTTTGTGCAAAGTTAAGCATTGGAAGCTCATTAACAATCTGACTGTGCTTTAGATGGCTTTCATAAAGAAGGGCCATGAGGTTTTATTTTGATATTTATTACTATATTGAAAACAAGATAAAGTGGAAAAGAAGCACACAGCATATATATAGTGTTTTGATACTGATTTATAGCTTAAACAAAGCAAAACATATGGCAGATTAAATATACTTAACACGGTCACTGTATTTTTAATAATTTTTATATATATATATATATATATATATATATATATATATATATATATATATATATATATATATATATATATATATATATATAAACACACACACACAAAATATTTTGCATACCTTAAGCTGCACTCATTTTACAAAATGGGCCTCTTTAGAAAATAGTAGTTCTATTTCCTTCTTCTAAAATAATTTAATAGAAATCATGCCAAAACAAAATGGTAAACATTTAAAATCCAGATACCACACATTATTTCAGGTTTAGGTATTTTAGCCTCTATCGCTGCTCAATTTGTTTAAATTTTTTTTTTAAATTTTATTTTAGCATTTTAGCAATTTCCAAGTACAAGTTGGCTCAGGCAAACAAAAATTCACCTGTGGTGTACCTCCCAGGTTTGCAGTGGTGAGCAAAGCCATTGACTCAGTTGTGTTTTTACAACTGTCATAGGTGTTAAGAGAAATAAAGTACAAACATGTTCACATTTTAGATTCTTTCACCAGTAGCAAGATCTTAACCAGCGGATACTACAAAAGACCTGTTTAATCTCCTGACCATGACTTCCTGATGTTTCTTCGCAATAAAAAAAAGTCTTTTTGGTACCATTACAATTAAGTAATGTAATGGTAGCAATATTGTTGATCCTTTAAGCAAAATTTAAACCCCCTGTAGTAGAAATGGTTCCATGAATGCCTTGCTGCCCTCCCAGTGATAAGTGTTCAAACCATTTGTAAACAGTTTGACACCTTACCTAGAGTCCATCAGGCGCGAGTCACCTCGTCCTGTGCAGATGAAGCACTTGACAGTGAGCTAGCCCAGCTGATGCTCTTAGCAAATAAGCTGGCCCAAGGCTGTAGTAGTTTTGGTGTTTGCCGTGTTCCTTTACATTTACAGTATTTATACACAGGGTTAAAGCAGATGTTAAAACCGTTATGGCAGCTTGTGAAGTTAAACCGTATAGTCTTATGCCCACACCTATTTGTTATCTCGTTTACCTATATTCATGTGGCTTTGTCCCTAAAACCCAATGTTTTCATCAGCAACTCTGTTTCTGCGGAGCTATCGATTTTATATGTGTTTATAATTAGTACGCTGAGGAACGCCCTGCTTATATGTCAGATTTCACATGTGATTGTATGCAAAAGATCTGGGTTTTATTTGTTTTTGGTTTTTTTTTTATTCCTTTTTCAATTTTTTTACATCTGGAATACTCGCTAAATGCCAGTTTATAGCAGATAAAATAAAGTTAGAGGTTTTCTCCAAATCAACTATTTTTGCCTACATTTTTTACTTCAGAGTTCACTTTGATATTTTTTGGACTTTAGTGAATAACCCTGAAACTTCAAGCAGGTTTTTTGTTTTTTTTAAATAACTATATTTTTATTATTGCGTGCTTAACAGTACATGGGAGATTAATAACAATTTGAGATCCAGGGTGCCTTGTCCTTGACGCGATTATTATTTTCTGTTTGTTTTACCCATTGTGTTTTTTAAACTCCAGGATTTGAGGAAGCTGATACAACACAAGAGGCTAATGCCAAGTATGAATCACTTGGTGGTTCTTCCTCGACACACCTGGAGAAGCCTCCACCTCTTCTTCCCACATCTGGCAGGAATCCCTTTATGGGAAAATCAAAGCCTTCCCTACTAGGAGAAAGGCCTTCCGGTCTCCTCCCTACACCAGGTGAGATACTTCAGTTTGTTAAATTAATTTTATTAGTATTCTTTTTGTGTCTTTTAACCTTTTCTCTTATCTGATCTTACGTCTCTTTGTGAACTAATTGTTTTCTATCATCATATTTCTTCTTGATTTGTGCCTTTTTGTATTGTTTTGTTTTAAGGTTCTGGTGTGAGCTTAGTCTGCTTGTTATTTACTGTTCATTGTTTCTTTTGTTAAACTTATGTTTTCCTAATTTTATTCTTTTAGGTTAAAAAGCTATTCATTTAAATTGCAAACAAGTTGTTATATCTGGTAGTAGGTTAATAATTTTAAGGTCTGGCTAATTTCAAAAAATGATGAGTAAAATTTGCATATTTTTGGCCCAAATAGCTTAAGTGGAAAATGTCTTCAATGTCATTATTTTCTGTCTCGACTATTTTGGATAAAACATATTTCAGTTCACTTGACATTTCCCCACAACTCAAAGTTCATTTAATAAAGTCTTTGCTATGTATAGCATACATGAGAACTAGATGATTACATTTACACGTACAGTGATACAGAAGATGTTGCCTCTTAAAATAGCAAATTGACATTAGTGAAATTAGTGTGGGAAGCTAATGTTGCAGCTTCCTGATAATTATCTGTATACATTTATTTTGTAATATTTTTGCATTGGCAGCCATTCACCATTTTGTGTGACCAATTAGATATGGTTGATTTTGCATTCCCATGAATGCCCTGCAATCTGCTTTTAAGCCAAAATCTCTGTTTAGCTGACTGAATTGAAGCAGACAGATTTCTAACAATAGCTGCACTCCAGACCCCTAAATCACTTTATCTTCCTGAGATACTTTGTGTGAAGAGTGTACCCTGTTTTGTTTCATTTTGCAAAAAGAGGACATTTCAGTCGAAGTTTACACTTTTATAAATTAACCTGGTTACACCGCCCTGGCTTTCAAGCAGACAATTACTTCCTGGTTTGGTTAACTCCGTGGAGCTAAACATGAGAGGTAGCAATTGCCCAGAAGAGCACCTGCCTTGCAAAGACTTCTCATTGAGCTGCTTTGGGAAGTCTGTGATTGGACAGTCACAGAAAGTCTGGGCAGCGTTAGAAGGGAAGGGCTTGCAAAAATCTGCAGACAAGAGAAATGCAGATTTGTTTTAAGATATGACCCCAATGAAAAACATAATTATTTGTATGCATGCTTTCATTGAAGGTATGACTACTAAACAGTATTTATTTTGTATCTGGGCAGTGGAAAGTCCCTTTAACCTTTTCAGGATTTGCCTATCCCGGTTTCTGAAAGGGTAAATTATTTTTTTTATTTTTTTTTAAACCCAAATTGGTAGATGTATGATACATAATGTAAACAATTTTTTATAGTTAATATATGTGCCATTAGTATATAGTCTGTTGTACAGTGTTTTAGATATGTTCGTGTTTGTTCATTTAAATTAATGTTTTGAACTTTTAGATCATGGCGATGATGGTGTAAATGCATTTTTTGAGGCCAGTATAGTACCAAACAGTGGCTCTTCATCAGATGTTCTTACCAAGCCTCCCCCTCTTCTTCCAACCCCTGGGAGAACACCGTTACTAGGACTTTCAAAAGCACCTCTCCTCCGTGACAGAGCCCCAGGTGGACTTTTACCTACACCGGGTGAGTTTGTCTTGTATTCTCCAGTGTTCCCATGGTGCACTTTTGTATTTGACATATTTTATTGTTAAACATTAAAGTATGTGTTTAAACAAAATAACCTTACTAAATGTCTCTAGTTGAATCCTGACCCATGAATAAAGGATGAATTGTTAGGTTGGGATGTTAAAGGAATGTTCTAAACACCAGAACTATTACAGCTTAATTTAGTGTTCTGGTGCTGCGAGGCTGGTCCTTCTGTCTGACCGATGTAAAGATGAAAAGGCAGTGTTTACTTTTTCCCCAAAGTCACCTCTAATGGCTACCACTCAGACAGCCACTATTGACCGTTCTGCAATCTTTGCAACACCAACCTTTTGGTGTCTTCATGCTCTCTATTGAGATGCATTGATCTAATGCATCTCTACCAGGATATTCTGATTGGCAGACAACGGCAAAAAAATACTTTAAAACTGGGGTGGGCAACGAATCTAAGTGGACTAGAAATTGCTCTGTTAGAAATGTTTTTGCATTCTTAATAAAGACATATTTGCTGGATAATTTAACTACTTTGGTTAATATCTATAGCAACCATCATAGTGACCGTGCCTGTGTTGCTTTGAGACTGTGCCTCACTTCCAGTTAGCAGATAAGTTTCTTTTTAAATTCATTGGCTTCCTTTACAAATAGTCATATGATCAATGAGTTGTAAAGCGCCACTTAGAAATTAAGCAGCAGCCAAAGAATGACTACTGTGTAACCATTGATAACACTGGCCTTAGACCACTATCCTGCATAAGCCTCCACTACATTTGAAAAACACTAGTTTAATTAAAGGCTCCTAGAACCATTACAATGGACTGTAGAGGCTATTGTGTTTATGAATCAGTGTTTATTGAGGATTGTGCGGATATACAAAAAGCATATGTACAGTGATAGCCTCTGGGATCCGTGTGTCTATCAGGTTGAATGTCCCTTTAATTATTATTGTGCCTGTAATTATAAAAAGATGGATATCGACAAAGGAAAAAGCAAACAAATTTTTTACAGTCTGGCAAAATCAATTTTTTTATATTAATTCCTTTCTATGTATAGGAATACCTGGTCCAAAAGGCAAACCTCCTCCACTCTTGGCGATGACTTCCAAAAGACCTGGTCTCCTTGGGTTTTCACCACATCAGCAAGCAAAACGTCCATTGCTAGGAGAAAAGCCAGGGCTTCTTCCAACTCCTCTTGGTGAGCATTGTAGGTGTTGTAATGAAGTTGTCTTGGGTGCTGTCTTATCTTTAGGGGTGTAACTGTTAATTTTTTTTTAAAACCGCACCCGATCACTCTGTCCAGCTATTTCCTTTGTTGGTCCAAGGCTTCAATTAGGAAGCCTCAGGCTGGGTGCATCTGATGGGTTTGAACGTTTTACCTAACACTCTTGTCCTATCATTCATAAAACAGAGTGAAAAAATATTTACCTTTTTCACTCCGTTTTAAGAGAGTCAGTTGATCACTGGAGCACAGTTGATGCTTCCTGACTGAAGCTTTTTGGGCTGAGCACGGTGATCTTGTGCTGTTTTCAATAGTTTAGGATTATACCTTTTGGTTAAAGTTTAACCCTTTAAATTGTTATGGTGCAGGGAAGTCCCAAGGTGCCGTCTAATCTTAATTGTGATCAAGCTGTTTTGGTGCTCGGAATGGTCCTTTTTAAAGAAATCGAGAATCTATATCTCCCTCTCTATCAAGAGACAAGTAATTGTTGAACATGGATTTTAAGAAACCTTGACTTCATAATCTAGTAGCTCTAGGAGGGTTTTTGACTTTTCTATCCCTAAAGCAAGATATGGTGTTTTGAATATTTTGGTAAATCCAAAGAAATGTATATAGTTAGAGAATTTAGCTGCTTTAGTAAATATGACCTTGTTTACTCCTAATTTTCAGCCTGGTCATCTGGGTCATGGCAATATAGCCTATAGTGCAAGTCCTTTAGCTACATTTATTTTTAATGTTTTGTACATACTCTCAAGGAACAACAGATGTTGATATTCTGATCAAATGTTACACTTTCTTGTTCTGTCCCCCCCCTCCCGCCCCCTATTTTCATTACAATACAGTGATAAAGCCTGGTTAAAAATGTTATACCTACACTTAAGAATCCATTAATAGAAGTCACTCCTGTAATTTTGTGCATGCAAGTAAATAAATGCAAAAGTAGAATCTTTAGAAGATCTGTACATTCAGCTATTGTCACCGTCATTTTCCCGAGCATGTGCTTTTAATAAATTTGAGAGAAGATCCCGGTGATATCAGCTGTCGGTGTTTGTTGAGTGAGGAAAATAAATGGGCAGAAAAGTATTGGTGAACCTTATGAAAAGCTATATTTAAAGGAACACTTGTATTCCTGACCCTATAGTGTTTAGCCCACCATGTAGGTGGCTTGCTCCTCCTTAGCCCCCTTATAAAAGTATCAAACTCACATTATTTCCAGCGCCTCGTGGGTCCGCCGTCACTGGCTCTGCCCAGTTTGTGACATCATCAAATGGCCAATTTCTAGCCACAGGGAAAGCATTGGATTGGCTTAAATCGGTGCGGGGCCAAATTCCGTTTTGGCCAATCAGGACCTCCTCATAGAGATGCATTGAATCGATGCATCTCTATGAGGAAAATTCTGTGTCTTCATGCAGAGCGTGGGGACACGGAACGGCAGAGCTGCCTACTAGGCAGCACTGAGGCAGGAAGCACCTCCAGTGGCCACTTGGAGGTGTCCCTAGAGGCAATGTAAAGACTGCCTTTTCTCTGAAAAGGCAGTGTTTACATGAAAAAGCCTGAAGGGAACTATTTATACTCACCAGAACAACTACATTAAGCTGTAGTTGTTCTGGTGACTATAGTGTCCCTTTTAAGACAAAATAGTTCTTGCTTTGTCATAAGCATGACATTAAAATCTCCTGAAGCCCAGTGTGCTTGAAGAACACTGGTTTTAAGTATCGTGTCCGAACACCTCTTCTGTGTTAGAAAATAAATATGATAAAGAGATTACTTATGGCATTGAATCTAAAAATTGAGTGACAGGGAACCATCTAATTTGTGGTTCTCCTATCCCTTCTCAGCTACTGCAGTCACTGCTCTGTAGTTGATGTGCTGATACCTTGTGATTCTGACTCATACGTTACTAAAGGAATGGCTTTGACAGATGATATAATTTCATTCATAGATCAATGCACCTATGGGATTATGGGCTAAATTCACTTATATGATAAAATCAGTACACATACACCAGAATGAGACTGTCCTGATTGGAGGCATGGGGGAGGTTTTGCCTGCAGCTGCAAGTAGACCCACTAATTAGTGCACCAATAGGAAGTGTCCCTTTGGCCCTAGTTTTCTGTTGGTTGGTACTGGTTGCACATTACCTTACCATAGAATAGGTAAATTGTGTAGATCAGCAGAAGTAAAAGCAGTACTTATTCATGCAATAATTACTTAACCGGGCACTCTAAGAAAGCCTGTATGTGTGTGGGAGTGACAAAAGTGTCATTAGTGTTTCAGAGGGGCTGAATTATGTACCCCGATGCCTCTCAATGGATGACATGATGGATAATGAAGAATGTAAAGAACCTAATGGCATCTTAATCTCAGATACTGGGTTTTGGATGCAAAAGAGGGGAAGAATCTCTTCCTTTTTTTTTTTTCCGTTTGATTTCCTTGTATCTTAGACACAACTGGACATAAACCGGTAAGACTGCATCTGCAGCCTCCTGGCATCACAAGCATTTCAGTAAGCTAGTACTCTGAATATCTCTTTAAATGATGCATATAGTTTTTAACATATCATTTATATGATGCATATAGTTTTCAACATTTCATAGGATATCATTTGGGTTATGTTGAAAGAAACAGATGGTAAAAAAAATCGGGGGGGATTTTTGGCATTTGTTTTATTTAAGAACAATAAAACCTTATCCGCCCATTCTAAATTTTGTTTATGGCATGTTTTCATTCTCTGCTTGCTTGTCTTTTGTAGATGGTTCAGACGCCATCTGGCGACCTCCTCCATCCTCTCACTTGTTACACCTCCCCCGATCAGGTGGTGAATCAGGAAGTGGTAAGTGGTGAGATGCGGAGGGAGACAGACTGTTAAGAGAATCTGCATCCCTGGAGAAGAAGGGTTTTGAGGGGTCTCATTTATAATGTTGCATAAAACCAATGCTTTTAATAATGTAACACATTTGTACTCGTTGTTTTTTTTGCTTCTAAGTTTTTATAAACATGCACAATAAAGTTCGCTTGTTCCACTATTAATGTATTTTGTAACAGTCAAGCTAAACTGCAGCAGAACATTTTTAAAGCCATGTCTGTTGGAGGATTGTCGATATAACCCAAAATATAAATATCCATTCCATTTAAGATTTTTTTTTTTTTTTTTAAAGTAATCAGTCCTCCAAATTTTATGTATAAAACTAGTATTTTTCACTAGCCTGTTAGCCATTTTCACTAGACACATTATAGGGCAAATTCCCTTCCCAATGTATAGTATAATCAGTATGTTTATTTTGATAATCATGTGTATAATCAGTTATGTTTTGCATGTAGATTCTTTTGTATACACACAGATGGGTTAAATTATGTATTGGTAAATGCTTTATTTTTGCTAGTGAGCACAATACAAGCAGTATGTCCTTAGGTGAGACATGGGTTTATCCATAACAGAACAAGAAAACTGAATTCATAATCATCATATGCAGTTTTGTTGATGACACTTGATGAAAAAGTAAGGAATTAAGAGATAGAAAAGGGAATCAATATGGAAGAGGAAAGAAAATTAAAGGCAGAACTTGATGGGCATAGTTTTCTAAGCCTTTATTATGTAAGAAATGTGTTATTTGTATGTATTAAAATATATCATGGGCCACTGATGTCCAGAAAAAAAATGACTTTCATGTTATATATTTAAAAAAACAACAACAAATCTTTGCAAACAGATTGTGTCTATATATGAATGTAATGTCTTCGTTGGAATTTATCCATGGGGAGTATAGACTATACCTGGAACTTGTGTATTCAACACCCCCTATTACATCCTCCCCTTTTTCCTATGCCTCTTGTCATTCTTATACACTGACTGCTGGGTTAGAAGTTCTTTTCTCTACCCGTAGGTGCTGGGGTTTGTTCCTTGAAGTACTCTGTGTTAATCCAACAGGGCATCCACAGATTCAGTTTCTGTAAACACTTTACAGTTCTGCTATCTGTCTTTCCACTCACCCAACCATACATGTTAATACAAAGGTCAAATCAAAGCTTGCAGCCTCCACTTAGGCTTGGAATATGCATAAGTAGGGAAGCAAATGAGATGCTCTCTTAATCGTGTAGACCTGGACTCATTTAGAGAAAGACATATAATAATCCTCACTGAGTGTTCGTTTGACAATTAAGTTAGGGGATAACTGAAATATATTCTCTCTTCCCACATTACCATGTGCTAAAATCAATTATCATCTTCTTGTTTACCTTATAGACTCTATACAGTTTCTCAAGCGGCACTTGTTAATGCATGCTGATAACCTTCTCAGCAGTTGGTCACTTGTCATTTTAATAAGTCTGTCTATCTTAAAGGGACACTCCACTACATAAATGCAAAACAAAAACAAACTCAAAAAGCCTGTTTAGTGTATATATAACCCTAACAAAAACATGCATGGATTAATTGGTTTTTGTTTTTTTCCCCTTTGGGGATATATCCAAAAACAGCTTGCAAAAGCTGTACACCTCTTGTCTGAAGCCTCTGCAAGCTTGCTCATCTAACTCAGTCCAGACTTTATGTGGCTGTCCAATTACAGACATCCTAGTGCTGCTGAAAAGTTTTTGCAAGGCAGCTACTCTGAGCAATTGCTGCCTCTTGAGCCAATTTCTATTGAAATCTGCACTTTATGAAGAATAACAAAAAGAGGACACACTCTTAACATATAAAGCATTTTAGCATGCCTAAGTGCTTTGGGGGTCTGGAGTGTCCCTTTAAAATTTTTCTACCTAGTCATCATATTATCCCTAACTCTGCCTTGTATATAAAACCTTTCACTACTGTTACTACTAGCTCTTTCATGAGAGCATTAGCTGTGACACTGGACAGGAGGGCTGGTAGTAACTAAGGGGGAGTGGGATAGTAACACTAAAAAATGGGTTGCTATGAGTTCTTGATATTGTGGCTAGTTAATGACACCGGTGGGATAGAGGTAAAAACACTGGGAGAGATTTATCAACATGATGTAATATAGGTGCTGCAAAGTTCTAAATGTTTTCCACTCATCATGGAAGCTGTTGGAAAAAGCAGACACATTATGCTTATATCCCTTTTGCAACCTTGCACCATTTTAAATCACTCCCATTGAACTACAGAGAAAAAAAGAATAATGAACTGCATCATAAAGACATACTGTGAATTAAAAAAAACAAATTTGGTTGGAGAGCAAATTTTAGGCAGTACACAATGAAATAGTGTATATATTGATATGTCTATTGGTGTTAGGAGTAAAATAAAAACATACTTGTTGTGCTCAAATACAAGGAGTTTTTAAAGGATGGGGTGTATAGAGTAACATTTGGAACATATTTGATCAGAGTTATATATTTACTAGTTATCCGCATATCGTGTTGTTTAGTATATATATTTGTATAATGGCACCAGACATGGGTTAACATATTGCTAATTATTTTTTCTGACAGCTGTTCCTGCAAATACTAATCCACTTCTCTGGCCGTCAAAACCCAAACCTCTTCTTGGCTAAAGCCAGAAAATGCACATCTATTCAGCGTCTGTTATGAGTTCTACCTGTGACTCCATATTAGAACAGTGCAGAAGAACTGCAACAGCAAAGTCTAATTCCCCACATTCCCATAGATGTTTTTGGGGTTGTTATTTTGTTTTTGTTTTTTTAATTTGTTTTTATTTAATTTTTTTTTTTTGTAGTCTTAATTATTGGTATTTTCCCTTTTATTGAAATATGTCTGGACAGACCAACAAATGAACTTAGAAAGCATTGGTGGGCCTTCAATAGAAGGATTTTTAAGAACGGCTGAAGATGGTTGCTTCTGTTTTGTTTATATTTTCCTTGTAATTATCTTTTCTCTTAAGAGAATAAAGATTTTGTTTTACAAAAAAACACTGTTTCTTCTCCTGTTTTCTCCTGTGGATCTGAAGCCCCTTCATTTTAAACTACCAATCTAAATGCCACAAACTGTTTCACTGATTTATCTTGCAATTTAAAGATCATTTAAATTTCCCCTAGAGTGGCAGGTGGCATTATAGAACTTTACTTGCTAAAATGAAATCCATCTCTTTTGTTCATAGATTGTAAACTTGTTTGAGCTGGGCCTTCTTCACCTTGTGTCTGTTAATATTTTGTATAACAATTTCTTGTCATTCTATGATTGTAAAGCGCTGTGATATATATTGGCACTTATAATAATTATTTTCAGTACATAGGGAAAAACAACACACCGTATGATTAGTAGTAGTAGTGGGGTTTCTATGTAAAGTCTACCCGGGTAGAGAATAGTACCCCCAAAAATGTTTTTTGGGTCATGTGTTGGGGCTTAGAATAGTAACACCTCTTCCTGTTTGATTGCATTTCACCATATATATTGGACATGTTGTATATTATATGACTTAAAGAAGGCCTACAAGCAAGCCAACATGTCAACCCTTATGCACTGAAAATAAAGGATTGCTGCTTGCAAAACAATGTGCTGGATTACTCCTTGTCTTCTGCTATATATGGGAATACAGATCCTAAGGTTACCTGCATCCATGCAAAAGGTACATCAATTGATTTAGTGTTCACAACTTGTATATGTTGTGTTCACAACTCTTAGGCATTTTGTGTGTAAAAAACAAAACAAACAACTTTCTTTTATTTCTCTATTGTCTTACCCTTGACATAGACTTTTTGGCAACATCTATAATATGTTGTGTACCTGTTAGAACACTGAAAATTTGAATGATTTCTAAACAAACGAAGAGCTGACTTTCTTTCTTGATTCAATGTATTTTCTGGTGATACATTGTTTCCAATATGGCATTTTGTTTCTTTATTTTCATATTTTTGCCTTTATTTTCTGCTCTAGATCAGTGGTTCCCAACATTTTTTCACTTGAGTACCCCCTGGCAGCCCATTTCCATAAATTGTACCCCTCATATAAGCAAAATACGTGTACTATTATTTAAAAGGTATAAATTTTTCTGCCCCGTTTCCCCTTTTTCTCTGCACCTGTTCTGCCCCAGACTCCCCATACTTCTGTACTGTCCCAGGCTCCCCCGTGCTCCTTCTCTGCCCCAGGCTTCCCCTCCCCGCTCCTTCTCTGCCCCAGGCTTCCCCTCCCCGCTCCTTCTCTGCCCCAGGCTTCCCCTCCCCGCTCCTTCTCTGCCCCAAGCTTCCCATCCCCGCTCCTTCTCTGCCCCAGGCTCCCCCTCCCCGCTCCTTCTCTGCCGCAGGCTCCCCCGCTCCTTCTCCGCCCCAGGCTCCCGCTCCTTCTCCGCCCCAGGCTCCCTCTGCTCTCCCTTCGCCCTAGAATACTCCTGCTCCTCCTCTGCACCAGGCTCCCTCTCTGCTCCAGAGTTTCCTTGCTTCCTTCTGCCCTCGCTTCTCCATGCTCCCCCAGATAGACCTGCAGACACACACTGACACACCTGCAGATACAAACACTAACGCACATACAGATAAAGACACTGACATGCATTGGAATGGAGAGACACATATACAAACAATGACATACAGAAAAAGACAGATACAAACACTAACACAAAAACAAACACTGATACACATGCAGACACACAGATACAAACACTGACATACAAATGTACAGACACACAGATCCAAACAATGACACACGTGCAGATATACATGCAGAGACACATACACATGCAGATACACATATTTAAACACTGACACATTCAGATACAAACAAGGACACAGATGTAGATAGACCCATAGATACAAACTTTGTCAGTACTTTTGCATATTGACACGCATGCAAAAGCACCCCCCTGAAAAATGTAACTTGTTCTATATTCGAATTGAAGAATGGATCACTGAGAGAAGACAAGACAAATGTCTTAGGTTTAGTTAAAGAGGATGTTTGTTGCCTTATTGCATAGTTTGCTTCTCAGTAAATGTAAGCTTTGGCATTATCTTGCACAGGGCCAGATTAAGAGCCCAGTGGGCCTGGAGCTGACAATTATAATGGGCCTAATTACAGAATCTTATCGACCAAAAACACTAAAACAACCATACCTCCCAAGTGTCGTGTATCTGATGGAGATGGTGTTGGAGGGAAAGGATGCAGCTATAAGAAAACATACTCTATGTTAATCTCTCTCTAATGTATGCTTTCATCTTTCAAGTAAATCCATACATCCTAATAGCAGTGTCCTGTGAAGCAGGAAGTCAATGGGCGGGGTAAAAGGGTGGGCCACTGGCGCAAATCATGTGACTAGACCTGCCAAAAGGGGTGAACATGCCCAAAGAATTGGAAGGCCAGCCTGGCATGAATGCATGTCAGGCTGCCTGCCAATCATGCAGGCTGTCCAACTAAGGGATATGCAGGCAGCACCCTGAGCTTGACATAAATGCATCAAATAATGCACCTACTACATGCTTTCTAAGGACTGTTGAGTATTGCGGTGGTTAATCACTGTTGGCTATGATTGGTGTTGTTTTTTGCCCAGTACCGTAGCCAAGGTTCCCATGTGATGGCGTATTTGTCATGCCGGCCTAGTGGAGACCAGTATATGTTCTCCATTTCTCGCGTAGCTTCTACCCTATCTATCCATTGTGTCACAGTGGGGGTCTCAGCTTTTCTCCAGTATAAGGGAATAAGGTTGTTTGCTTCCCCTAATAACATCCACAGTAGTTGTTGGGTTTTTGGGAGGTTTGTGGCCAGCCCAGCAGGATTTGGGAGGGTGTCAGTGAATGTGGGAGTGTTAGAACAGTCTTTATTATTGCTATTAACTCTTTCCAGTACTGTCTAATGTGCGGGCATTCCCACCAGATGTGTTCCATTGTCCCTACCCCGCTGTCGCATCTCCAACATTTATCACTAAGTGTTGGCCAGAACTGGTGTAGGAGATCTGGGGTCCTGTACCATCTTGTGATGCACTTATAAAAGGATTCCCGTCTTGAGAGGCTAATGGAGGCTGTCATAGGTCTTGTTAGGATGTATTTCCAATCGGCGGGAGTCAAGTGAATGTGTAACCCTTTCATCCACTGCCAGTGGAAGGGGGGAGTCTCTTGTACTCCTTGGGGGGAAGCAAGTAATTTATATATTTGGGAGAGGGTGCGTTTGTGCGCTGATTTGGAGGTGCATAGTTGCTCAAATTGGGTGAGAGCTCTCGGGTTCCAGTTTGGTAGTACTGTGCTTCGCAGAGTGTGGCGTATGTGCCCATATCTTAGCGTTTCAGTGAGCGAGCCCTGGCCCCCCAAATCCTGTAGAGATTTGATTTTGGGGGGGTGTCGTTTGTCATCATGTCTCCTATAAGAGGATCAGCTGTCCCCAGTATTTTCCTCAGTGTTGGAGCTCCTCTTCCCCCCAGGATATCAGGATTGTGTGCCAGTGGATAAAGTGGGGAGATTCCCGGAGATAGTCCCGATGAGGTTTTATGGAGACTCCATTTCTTTAAGATGTGGTGGAGAAGCGGGTGGGATATGATGGCAATTTTTTGCAGGTGGCATGTCTGCCAGGGTAGTGTGGACAGGGGTACTGTGGAGAAGCTTTGCTCCAGGTCATACCATGCTTTTTTGTGTTGGGTGTCCGTCCACTCTCTCACTCTAGTGAGGAGGGTTGCTATGTAGTATTTATATATATGAGGTAGGCCCAGCCCCCCTTCCTTCCTGTTCCTTGTGAGAGTGTCATACGCTATTCTCGATTTTTTTATGTCCCCATATATAGGATATAAAGGCTGATTTCATCGTGCGGAAGAAGGTATTGTCTAAGTCCAGGGGTAGGGTTTGAAAGAGATAGAGGATCCTCGGTAGAATCATCATCTTGATGATGTTGACCCTCCCAAAAAGAGAGAAGTGGGGTTTGTCCCATTGCTTTAGTTTGGATGTAATGTCATGTAACAGGGGAATGTAATTCATTTTATAGAGGTCTTTAATTGTGGGCGTCAGTTTAATGCCCAGGTAAGAAAGGCCCGATTCCGTCCATTTATAGCTGTAGGAGTCGCTGATTTGAGTTTTGTGTCTCGCGTTTAGCCCTAAGCCCATTATTTCGCATTTATCTGCATTAATTTTGAAGTTGGAGCAGGCACTAAATTGGTCTATCTCTTTCTGCACATGTATGAGGGACTGTTCCGGGTTAGTTATGGTGAGAAGTACATCATCTGCAAAGGCAGATACTTTAATCTCTGTTCCACCCGCTCTAAAACCTGTAATGTTGTCATTGGTTCTGATGGCGTTGAGGAAGGGCTCCATAACCAAAACAAAGATTAGGGGTGACAGTGGGCATCCCTGCCTGGTGCCGTTGCTGATGTGAAACGGGGGGGAGTCGTGTCCATTAACCCTGACTGAGGCTGAGGGGCCTCTATACAACATTCTCACCCAGTGTCTATAATTTGGTCCCATTCCCAATGCCTCCAGTGTGGTGAATAAAAACTCCCAGTCTACCCAGTCAAATGCTTTTTCAGCATCGACTGACAGGAGTAGTGTGGGGGTCTTGGAGGACAGTGCGCCGTGCATGACGTTTATGAGACGGGTCGTGTTGTCCCGGGCCTCTCTCCCGAAGTCCGCCTGATCCGCATGAATCAGGTCAGGAAGGAGTGGTTTAACCCTATTGGCCAAAATTTTAGCAAAAAGCTTTAGATCTAGGTTGATTAAGGATATTGGCCTGTAGCTGCCACATATGCTTGGGTCTTTACCCGGTTTTGGGAGAACAGTGATCGAGGCCTTTAGCATGGGTGGTGGCAGAACATCTTCGACCAACAGAGTGTTGAGGACTTCTAGGTACCTTGGAATCAATATGTGTTGGAAATTCTGATAGTATCTGGCCGTAAGGCCATCTGGACCTGGGCTTTTGCCTTTAGGGAAGGTCTGTAGTGCTATTCGGAGTTCCTCAGGTTGGATAGGTAATTCTAATTGGGCTGTTTGTTGTGGGTCTAGTTTTTTCTGAGTGTGGGCCGAGATGTATGCTGCCGTATTATGTTGTGTGTTCAGTGGTTGTCCCAAGTTGTAGAGGTCGCTGTAGTAGTCTTGAAAGGTTTTGGCTATGTCCTCTGTCGCGTCTTGGCGTATTCCACCTTTCGTGGTTATGTGGGAAATGTATGTCTTTTGGTGTTTGTCCTTTAGGGCCCTGGCTAGATATTTCCCACTTTTATTGCCGTGCGCATAGTATGTCCCCTTAGTCAGCTGGGCTGCCCTATGAGCTTTCGCTGTAAGGAGGTTTCGCAGTTCCATTCTTAATGCTGTTAGTGTTTTGTATGCGTCGGGTGTGGGGGTAGCCTTGTGGGCAGATTCTGCTATGTATATGGCTTCAGTTAGGGATTGGATTCGTGCCGCTCGTTACCGTTTTATGCGAGCTCCCCACTTAATCAGGGTCCCTCGGGTTATACCTTTGTGTGCTTCCCATACCCATGGTTCCACTGTGCCTTTACCTTCATTTTCGTGAAAGTACCTGGGCAGTTCGTTGGGCAAGTCTTCAGTTACCCTGGGATCATCTAGTAGTGATTCGTTTAAGCGCCACGAGTTGCTTACGGCACTCTTCTCGTCTAGAGACAATGTAAGGAATATTGGGGCATGGTCCGACCATGTGATCGGACCCAAGGACATGGAGGCTAATTCGTGCAAGTGCTTGTGTCCTATCAAGAACATATCCGATCTAGAGTAACTATGGGCTACCTGGGAGAAGTATGTGTAATCCCTTTCCTGGGGATGGGCAATCCTCCAGCAGTCGACTAGTTGGTTAGCATGCAGCGCTTTTTGGAATAGCAGACGTTGGTGTGCTAATGTGTCTTTACCTGTCGCAGTGCTGTCCATTGAGTGATTTAAAACTATGTTCCAGTCACCCCCTAACACCACTAACCCCTCTGCAAAGTTCTCTAGTTTTCTGAGGCATGATTTGATGAATGGGACCTGTCTGTTGTTGGGCGCATAGACATTCACTAGGGTAATGAGGGTATTGGTGATCTTTCCTTTGAGGAAAATATATCTTCCCTGTGGGTCTAGTTTGCTGTCTTGGAGCATGAATGCTCTTCTGGATGATAGTAGAATAGCGACCCCTCTAGATTTGCCTCCATGATAATTGCTAAAGTACGATTGTCCCACCGATTTAGTTTTCAATAAGGGGGTCTGATCTCCTCTAAAATGAGTTTCCTGGAGGAATACTATATCCATCTGCTGTCTGTCTAGTTCATGTGCTAGGATTGTGCGTTTTTGGGCGTGTTAAGTCCCCTTACATTCAGGGACATGAGTTTAAGATTATCCATCATAAAACAGCCACGGGTGGAAGCTTCTTGGGCTTAAATGATGTGATGAGGACCTATACTCAATGGGGGGGGAGGGGTTTGGGGGAAAAACATAAACTATAGAAACTATAGACAGTGTGTATGCAGCATGCCTGCTGCATCCAGATGGTGTCAAGCCCGCTGTGGATCATATGGACCCCGCGTGCTCTTTGTGGCACCTCTTGGGGGGTTGTGTGGTCTAGACCCGTCGAGACTCTAGGCCAGCTGCGCGTGTGAGATACATCATTTGGGTATCGTTAGCGATCTTGCATTAGCTTATGTTAACATCGCATATATCTTATTATGACATATCTATTGATCGAATCCCAGTTCCAGCGTGCCCAGGGTCCCGGGTGCCCTCTGATTGTCTAGGCCCCAGACACGTCGAGCTTTGGCAGTAGGTTACACATTAAACAGTAGATATATAGAAACATGTATATATATAAACATGGCATTAACTAGGCATTAGGTGAGGCAAGCGCAGAGTGAAAGGATATATTGAGTCTTTTAGGTCGGTCTCGTGGCAGTGCCTTTTGGTGTCGAGGGCAGTTCGTTTCCCGAGGGGGTTCGTCTCCCTCGCTTCCTGGGGCTGCATTGCCATTTGGCCTTCTGGGGTATTTGCCTGTCCTGTTCCATGTAAAGACCAGTCCAATCTTCCACCGCGTCGGTGGGTATGCCTAGGGCTTGTTAGAACGTCAAGACATCCGCTGGAGTAGATATTGAGTGTGTCTTCCCTTGGCGCTTCACCACCAAAGCAAAGGGGTATGCCCAGTGAAACCGTATGTTGCGGTCCGAGAGTGCTTTTGTGATCGGGCGCAGTGCTCTTCTCGCTATAAGTGTGGATTGCACCAGGTCCTGGAATATCTGCACTTTGTAGTCGGTAAATGCAATGTCTCTGATTTGCTTAGATTTTTGGAGAATCATCTCTTTGATGGGGAAATGGTGGAGCCTGCAACTGATGTCCCTTGGTGTCTCATTCGCCAACGCTTTCGGCTGTATTGCTCTGTGAGCGCGGTCCAACTTGATGGGGATGTCTGCCCAGAAGCTGATTGAAAAGATTTGTGAGGATTTGTGTTATATTTTCATCTGTCCCTTCAGGAGCCTCAGGGATACCTCTAATTCTGAGGTTATTGCGCCTTCCTCTGTTGTCAAGGTCCTCTATTTTCCTTTGTAGGAATATTAGGGCTTCATTCTGGGTTTGCTGGAGAGTTTGCATGTTGTGTATTTGCAGGGCTGTTGTTTCCCCCCCTTTTCCAGTAGTTGCACTCTATTGCCAATGTGGCTTACCTCCTCATGTAGAGATTGCAGCTTGTCGCCAAAGCTCCTTTCCATTTTGGAGAACATGGCTTCGAGGTCCAGTTTGGAGGACAGCTGGGTCAGAATAGTTTTTATATCTGTTCCCTCTGTGGAGCTGTCTGAGGGAGCAGGGCTGGCAGGAGCGCTGCTCGCGGGGGATTTTTCAGCCGTGGCCATTTTGGACCGCATGTCTATCTCTTGTTTCTCCACGAAGAATCTCCTCAGGGACGTTTTGGAGGATGAGAGGTTAGAGGAGGGAGTGTTGCCTGCTTGTGCCTTCAGTCTTTTGGTCGCCATGTCCGTAAAATTGCCGTTCATGCGGCCATTCACTCCCGCGTCCAAGCCACGCCCCCTACAAGTAAGATTTTACTATATTTAGGGAGGCAAGATGGGGGCGGGGGCCTAGATGGTGGTTTTTACATAATAGGGTCAGAAATACATGATTGTGTTCCTGGCCCTATAGTGTTCCTTTAAGCAAGAGTATGTGAAGAGTAGTTAGGGTTGCCACCTTTCTTGGAAAAATAATACCAGCCTTAATCATTTGTATAATTAATTAGTTATGCATGACATTACATGATGTAAATCACAAGGAGTGACATAAGAGAAAATTCTGTAAAATCACCAACAAACTACTCACAATTTGATTCCCCTTTATAGATGAATTGCTCCCAGTGTATCCCTGTCTCCCAGTATCTGTCTCACAAGTCACCCAGTGTCTCAGTGTCCCTATGTATCACAGTGTCAGTGTCCCCATGTCACCCAGTCCCATAGTCTCCCAGTGTCCCCATGTCACTAGGATACTAGGGGACACTGGGAGACATGGGGACACTGGGAGACATGGGGGCACTGGGAGAAATGGGGACACTGAGACACTAGGGACACAGAGACATGGGGACACAGACACTGGGAGTCATGGGACACTGAAACATTTGGGGACACTAAGACACTAGGGACATTGAGAGACATGGGAACACAGACACTGGCTGAAATGGGGACACTGAGACACTAGGGACACTTGTGGACATAGACATGGGGACACAGACATTTGGGGACACTGACATGGGGACACACACTGGGAGACCTGATGACACTGGCTGGGAGACATGGTGACACTGGGAGACATGGGGACTCTGAATCACTAGGGACACTGAGAGACTAGGGGAAACTTGGAGCCATGTGGCCACTGAGCCACTAGGGACACTGGCTGAGGACATGGGGACACTGTGTCCCTAGTGTCTCCATGTCCCAATGTCTCAGTGTCTCCCAATGTCCCTATGTCTCACAGCGTCCCCATGTCTCACAGCGTCCCCTAGTGTCTCAGTGTCCCCATGTTTTCCAGTGTCCACAAGTATATCAGTGTCCCCAGGTCTCCTAGTGTCCCCTAGTGTCTCAGTGTCCCCTAGTGTCTCCCTGCTGCCTTTCCCCCTATCCCTCACTTACCTGAGCTGCTGTCTGGACTCTCTGTGCTGTGTAGCTGCTCCCCTATGGATCAATGAGTAGTAGAGAGAGGCAGGGAGGGATATGCTGTAACTTCATATCGCTGCCTCTCTCCACACACAGTGACCCCTACTGGCCGGTGCTGCTATTGCAGAGTAATCTCCATTTATACTGAGAAAAATACCTGCATTTGTATTGCCATTATTACTGCAATACCTGCACAGCCAGGCAGCCTCAAATACCGGCTGTGCCAGTAAAATACCAGTCAGGTGGCAAACCTAAGAGTAGTGTGTTTAAAAAAAAAAAAAAAACTTTTTTAAATGGGCCTGGAACTGCAGCTCCATCAGCCCCTTTGTTAATCCGGCCCTGATCTTGCATTATCCTCATGTATTCAATCTTTTCAATCACTTTTGTTCCCCATCTTAAGCATGTTTCTTAATTTATTCCTAAAAAATGCAATAAATCTTAATACAAAAAAAAAAAAAATCTATATTTAGTGTGGAAAGAACCAATTTCACATCTGTGTAACTATCAATAAGTCTAAAAAAAATTTTTTATGCAATCAATAATCTATTTAATGTGCTTTGTATCTCTTCCCAAAATGTCACTTATTTAAGAAGTCCAATTTCCTCTTGGCCTCCAGAGGGAGCCTTGCTATGCTGATATTATGTGATCTCCATGGCTCACAAAGTAAAGGTATGCTGAATATGAACAGAGCTCTTAATTCCTTATTGTACAGTCTTGTTTCCAGACTATGAATCCCATAGCCATAGTTTATGGAAAGAGCCTATTTATCAACTGTATGCTTATCCTTATTAAACACTTCACTGTCACAGGAGCCTAGCAGTGCATTGCTTCTCAAGTTCTGTTTTCTCCTGAGGTAGTAAATGGAATAAATTAAAGTCCTGCTTATGCATGTTTCCCAAGACACCGTATTGGCAAGGCATGCTTATTTTCAGTCAGAATTCTACCACAAAAAGGTGGTCTACACCCGTGTTAAAATTATCTCTGGCAATGTGTGTGTGAATGAATTTATTGTGGGTTATATTTAATATGAGCCGTTAACTAAGTAAGGATTATATCTTTTTGATAGTCCAGCTATTGTACAACGCTGGAGAATATGTTGGTGCTTTATAGATAATAAAATACAATTAGACAATACGGCTTAATTTCTTGTTGGAGGGGAGCTGAAATATTTGCAGTCAAATATATATACACAGGATTATTCACTATAATGAGAACTGCAGGGAATTCAGCGTCAATTTTAAATATAAGGTAAAAATAGCCAAACCAGAAAAATTCTCCCACACAGCTATGCTTTCAGTTTGGCTACTCTGGCCTTCATATTGGATTTCATTCTGAATTCTCTGCAATTCTCAGTTTAGTGAATAACCCTGTAAATGTGACGTTTTATTTTTCTCTAGCTACACAAAATACATCATTCATGCAGGTTATGTGGTATAAAAATCTACCACAAATCTTTCTCATAGATGAATCCCTGGGATACCAGAGACATATGAGCAACAAGGGAATATGGGGCAAATAGGTGAGTTGTATATCTTTGTCTTAATATTTCCAACTCTAATTCTCTATAATTCCCATTTAAGTGAATAAACCCCAGAGTGTTTTAGTGTTATGAGAATAACACCCTCAGAATTACAGAACACTTTGCAAACTGTAATCATGCATCTTATCTCAGGCCAAGTTGGCTGTTGGAGAATAAACAAATTTCACAACTATTCACTGAAGTGTGAATTGCTGGAAAAATCAAAATGAATTTAAAGTGTTCGGCAAATACAGCCAAAATGAAAACACGGTTTCAAGATTTTTCAAAGGCTATTGTAGTATTAAAACTTGAAATTCAAGTTGTCAATACACTGTACAAAGTATTAAATAACCCCAATCAAACATATTGTGTTCCTTGCTTATTATTGTAGATAGCAACACAAATTTTTGCAGTATTTTATAATGTTAATATAAAATTTAACTGCAAACGAGAAACTATTACTCATGTTCATGAGGACTTCTGCCACTTGTATATGAGATTGATAAAAATATATAGGGTTATTTTAGTGAATTAACACATTTATCACTACTAACAATTTATTGCATGCATTATCAGTATAATGTAATGTTCCTTGTCCTGATATTTTACAATCAGTTTAACATTCCAACCTTTTATCTAGTTGTGCCCCTAAAAATTGGTTAGTTTTTATGCCATCTTCTTAAAGTGACACTCCACTGTTCAAATACAAAGAAAAATTAATTACAGTTAAGTAGATACACCCCAATGAAAGCATGCATATAATTAGAAATTTTCCCGATCACAGACTTCCCAATGCAGCTCAATAAGAAGTCTTTCCAAGGCAGGTACTCTGGACAATTGCCGGCCTCTTGAGTTTGGCTCCACTGAACTAAACAAAGCAGGAAGTCACAGGACCAGTTGTCTGATTGACAGCCGGGGGAGGTGTTACAAGGATAATTTATAAAAGTGCAAATTTCTATTTAAATCTGCACTTTTTGTAGAATGGAAAAAAGGGCAGTCTTCACACACAAAATACAAAATTGAGGCTGATAATGTAGAGGTGTTAATTTTTAATTAGGGATCGACCAATATAGATACCGATATTGCCGATAATACATACAAGGACCGCCGGGCCCATTACAAGCCTGGCAGTCCTGGGGGGCCAGCAGCAAGCGGTGACTTACCTTGCCAGCAGCTCCTCCAGCTCCCCTGTGTAAATCTCGCAAGACCCGCGGCCGCAGAGTGTTGCCACGGGTTACCTTGGCAACGCTCCGCACGGCACGCAGACCGCGAGATTTGCACAGGGAGCTGGAGGACCTGATGGCAAGGTAAGTCACCGCTTTTAACATTTAAAATAATAATTAAAATAAAAAAATGCCCCCCCCCCTCCATTTTACACAAATTACATCTCTACACAAACACACACACATACTGCGTTATATTCACACACTACACACACACACACTGCATTATATACACACACACTACACAAACACTCTGCATTATATACACACACTACACACACTGCATTATATACACTACACACACACACTCACACCACACAAATACTCACTGCATTCACTATACACACTACACAAACACATTCTGCATTCACAATACACACTACACAAACACATTCTGCATTCACTATATATACACACTACACAAACACTCACTGCATTCACTATACACACTCTGCATTCATTATATACACACACTACACAAATACACACTGCATCCACTACACACACACACACACACTACACAAACACACACAGCTCCCCTGTCTAAACACACTTTATCCACTACATGTGGCATGTATATTTTGTGCATTTACCTTTAGAATTAGTTTATTTTTTCAAAATGGTAAATGTACAGAATATCGGCAAGTTATCGGCTATCGGCCTGAAAGTTCACAGATTATCGGTATCATCTCTACAAAATCAATATCGGTCGATCCCTATTTTTTATCATCAATGTATCTGAGAATATGGTGATCTCTGTGTGCTATGCATGGGCCGATTTTTTGGTCAAGATCCTGCGAATGGCACCTGGAGACCCTAAGCAAAATACCCACTGCTCCAAGCTGTAGCCATTACGTTGCTCAGTTTCAGATTGCATATTACTGTGTATTCGTAACTCAGCCATGATAAGTCTACCAGTTTCATATCCTATCTATCACACACTGGTCCACTAATCCCGGGGTCATTAATACTACTGCAACAGCAGGCAATCTCAGGGCTCCCGTGGAAATTTCATGTCCCATACTAAGTAATCACTAAAAAAAATTAGCCCCCCCCCCCACACACACACAAGTGTACCACTATTAGCCATTTGCTTATTTTTAAAACACCAACAGGTGACAGGTTTGCTAAAATGTTCACAACTAAACCCTTAACCTGTATGTTGACTCATACCAGTCTCTGCTGCTCAAAACTCACCTTCTAAATGCTCCAGTACCTGCTCATTACAACTTTGGTGCTATGCGTGCCAATAAATGTTCCCGAAAACCGTTTCCTGTAACTGCTTACCGCTCATTACTACTTCTCACCTAATGTCTCCTGTAATTGTTCTTCGCAACTTCTCTCCTCATTGCTTCCCTTATTTGTCCCTACAGAATAGATCCTCTCTTAATTATACCTTATATACACAGTCCCTTCCACCCATTGTTGAAACAAATAAACAGAAAACATTGATCTAATGACATTCAGAAACCATTTTAGCGTAAAAGTGCAACAGCTTAATCCTGCAATCTCCCTCTCCTCACCCCGGACACATCAATCCCATACTAAAATTAGGCTGCAATCTCCCCTCACTGCATCTTCTACTGCAGCACAGCTACAGCCAGCATCTCCTTTCTCGTCTCATTAAGATTCCC